TCTATTTTGACATTCATTTTACAATTTATATTGATATTCAAAAATTAATTGTAATTCCAAGTTTTATCCTATGGAATGCACAATAATATTCTTGGATAGTTAAAGCCTCATAGTAGAACAACTTCATCAATATGCTTGGTCAAATTAGTTTTCTTATTAGGTCAATTCTTTTGAATCTCAAAAAGAGAGCATGATATTTTATATTAAGAGTATAAATATGCCCTATCAGATACATCCAGATGACATTAACCTCATACCCTCAATTTTTGACTTTTGCAACTTTTTTATGACCCCTACCCAGGTATCTAAAATACCATTTATCGCCTGAAAAGCACCCTTAATTTATGCCAATTGACAAAATAAAGATATGTTTAGAATGCTGATATGATGGAGAATCATTCTGCATCATTATTGGCCAGCAATATATAATATTTAAGAAATCTACGAGATTATCTGATTTCATGAAACTCAATGTATACTAAGTTTCAGACTTTGAAATTTTAACATGTTGATATGGGTACATAGGGTTTATGATTCCAGTCATTTATTTAAAAAATTACAAAAATGAATTAATATGATGTGAGTAACAATGGTAATAAACGCTTAATTACTAATATATTATTTCTTGGTAGGAATGAAATGTTTTGGTGACATTTATAGAAGTTAAGCTGAGAATCAAAAATGCAAAAATTATTTTAAATATTACAAGCATTATTTGATGTCATTGAGTTTAGAGTCGTGTAGATATATGAGTACAATATGTTATTGATGTATATATGCAATAATTGTGAAAATGAAATGTGAATCTCAAGATGAGTTGCATGTTACTGCGCTATAATTTGAATTCAATACGTACATAACATTACTAAATGTATTTTAAGATAATACAAAAAATTAAGCTTGCAAAAAGATATCGAAATGTAATTTTCATTAGATTCAAAGTTCTGAATAGATTTTGATTTTAACTATTGATGAGTTTGTCAAACCTCTATAATAATAGAATGTAGAACTAATTAAATATAATTAATAAAAAAATACAAATTTAAGTGATATTATAAGAGATATATGTGATGTTACCAATATGATATGATATTGGAGAACTGATAGAATTGTGATGTGAGACTAAATATGATTTTATTATGAATAGGAGAATAATATTAGAAGAATTTCTTGAATTTAATGTATCTGAATATGTAATTGGGCATATATTCTATATATATATTGGTAGGTTAACTAGAAATAAGAAGATGAAAGATTGTTAATGAATAATATGAGATTAAGCGAAAATATATTGTTCTAATAGATGAGTGTTGAGATCCAATATATATGAAGAGGGATATGTGAGAGGAAATATGTATATTTAATAAAATAAGCGATGAGAGAAAAAATAACAAAGATTTATATGAAATTTTGAGTATTGAAAAAGCTCGATTAGTGATTTTATGTCTGTTAAAGGAATAGATATTCTAGGAGAAAGATAAATTGAATTAAAGAAGAATAAAAAAAGTTGATTAAGATTGATAAAAATATTGAATTGTATGACAATGGAAAGAAGGAATAAATTGGTGTTGGTATGACGGTATCATTTCGGGAGACATTGCCTCTGCATGTCTCCCAGAATGGAACAATTTCCGCATTGAATTGAACGCAAAACTTTGACCGACAAGAGTGTATTGTGCACTCCTGTCGGTCGCAGTGTCTCATTCTGGGAGACATTGCCTCTGCATGTCTCCCAGAATGGAACAATGTTCCGCATTGATAACTTGAACGCGGAAGTTTGACCGACAAGAGTGTATTGTGCACTCCTGTCGGTCGCAGTGTCTCATTCTGGGAGACATTGCCTCTGCATGTCTCCCAGAATGGAACAATGTTCCGCATTGATAACTTGAACGCGGAAGTTTGACCGACAAGAGTGCATTATCCAATCTTTTTTGTCATATACCTCAACCCACAAAGACAAAACCTTACAAAAATAGGTAAACTTTGGTTTTCACTTAATAATGTTTATTTTTAATTTTTTGTTCTTTATATAACTTTTTCTTCTACTAAACTATTTTACAGACTCTACTGAGCTATCCTCACATATATACCTGTGACAATAACACATATATACTCCCTTCATATTCTGATCTCATGACATATTACAGCACAAACTATAATTATACAACATACCTCATAAAGTCTGATTTTACCCCTATCTAAGCGTTCAAAACCTATTTTCCCGCGTAATCTGATTCTTCTGGCTCTGCTGATTCGATTTCTGCTGTCAGATCGTGAAAATATGCATCACACAATGAGATAAACACAAAATACACAACTTAATATTTTCCTTAAAATTTCTCTTCAAGTTCATACTGAAACAACATTTTTTTTTGAAAATACAATTTTTTCAAAAAATGTATGAATTCAAAAGTGCATACTATATCTAGTCATTACCCAACATTAATTTTGTATTTTAGTTTTTAAGATATTCATTTTATTATACGTCTTATTCAGAAAATTAAATATATTTGTGAGGGAAAACGAAGGAAATAATAAATATGTCAAGATCGAGGAATTGACAATTTTAAGGAAAATATTAAGTTGTGTATTTTGTGTTTATTCATTGTGTGATGCATATTTTCACGATCTGACAGCAGAAATCGAATCAGCAGAGCCAGAAGAATCAGATTACGCGGGAAAATAGGTTTTGAACGCTTAGATAGGGGTAAAATCAGACTTTATGAGGTATGTTGTATAATTATAGTTTGTGCTGTAATATGTCATGAGATCAGAATATGAAGGGAGTATATATGTGTTATTGTCACAGGTATATATGTGAGGATAGCTCAGTAGAGTCTGTAAAATAGTTTAGTAGAAGAAAAAGTTATATAAAGAACAAAAAATTAAAAATAAACATTATTAAGTGAAAACCAAAGTTTACCTATTTTTTGTAAGGTTTTGTCTTTGTGGGTTGAGGTATATGACAAAAAAGATTGGATAATACACTCTTGTCGGTCAAACTTCCGCGTTCAAGTTATCAATGCGGAACATTGTTCCATTCTGGGAGACATGCAGAGGCAATGTCTCCCAGAATGAGACACTGCGACCGACAGGAGTGCACAATACACTCTTGTCGGTCAAACTTCCGCGTTCAAGTTATCAATGCGGAACAGTGTCTCATTCGAGGAGCCCTCGAAAAGAACCTCACATCGACTCTCTCTTTCCGGCATCTTTACCGCATAGAAAACTGCTCGTTCGCAACTTTGTGTGCAATCTAAGAGATGATTGCGGTAAAGATGCCGGGAAGATTGACGCTGCAGCAGAGAATCACTACGGCTCTCTTTTACCGGCATCTTTACCGCATAGAAAGCTGCTCGTTCGCAACTTTGTGTGCAATCTAAGAGATGATTGCGGTAAAGATGCCGGGAAGATTGATGCTGCAGCCCCAGGCCGCACTCAGATTTCATCCCGCTACACAATTGTTCATCCAACAACTGTCATAGAGGTTGAAATTTTCGACCAGAAGTGAAACATATCATTTTTAAGACTGCGGCGCGCAAGCAAGTTTGAACCTTTCAAGGGTGATCAGTCCTTTACTCATTTCAAGACCTCTTGTTGCCTGATAAAACGATACTTCCTTCCTTGTGGGCCATTGAAAACCGCCCAAACCGTCACAACTTGCTTCCTAAATTTTATTTGCGGAGTAATTATCATGCATATTTTATCGGATAATAATATCAAAGCTAAATTTCATATTATTTTTTAAAGATATGCATTTTCTGTCTAAATTTATTTTTTCTGTTTCCAATTCACGGAATAATATTCTTACAAGCATATACATAGCTAATATATATCATTTTAATAATAATAAAACCAAAATGATGTATTCTTCATATAGTTATTTAAAATTCGTTAACTAGAATTGTATTCAGAACGAGGCAAAGTTAGGAGATACATAAAAACCAATAACTTGATAAGTGATACCTTTTTTCCTGATATATCTATATGTGTTAATGTCAAACACGATTTGGAAAAATTAATTCTTTAAATCGGCTTAAGAATAAGACCAACATCAAAAGCATGGCTAATAAATTAATAAATCAATGTTTAATTACCGATTCATGCATTTTTTTCAAAATTTCAAATTTCAAATTTTTGTTTCTCCAAAATATTAATTGTTTCCACTAGATTAACAAATAAACAATAAATTGGATTAATGTAATGCCCAATCATTCATTTTAAATTTTAGATTTAAAACAATATTTTTCTCCATATTATTATAATATGAATCGCTATGATATAAGAAATATATTTTCAATATTGAAATTGAAAAATTCTAAAATTTTTGAAATTCAATTTGAGTGTGATGATCGATAACATATATTTTTTAATTAAAATCTTGTGTCGCTATCATATAAATATACTATTTCTAAATTAAAAATAGAAAAAAAGTACTATTTAATGATGAATTTGCAAATAATATCAATATATATATATTCATGCTGATATATTTTGGGAACAGATTGGTAATCACATAAATAGGATTGTGTTAGTTTGTCATGGATATAAAACAAATTTTCGAGCTAATTGAGCGAATTTAAATCACAAACACTTATATTTTCTATTACAAGGTATATTTGTAATATACAACCAGTAAATAGCTTTCTCTAACTTTTACCAGCTTAGATGATAGCAAATTAGATACGAATTTCATGACCCCTCACCAAATTCCACTAAAACATATACAAATAAAAGTACTAAGTGGGTATCATCTAACCCTAGAATTATAGCTCCTAGGACTCATCCTAGATGGTAGTTCTGGAAAAACACCTGGTTTTTGGAGTTGCAAAAGTTAAAAATTGAGGGTATTTGATTTTGAAAAATCTTTACATTCTTCATAAAATTCATTATATTTCAGATATACTCACTTCATGTGTGATACGATCCGCTTTCCAAATGCAAATTTTGCTAAAAAAAAGCTGACAAAGCCGTTAGTCTGACGTTAGAATAACTCAGAAATGCAAGCGCCACCGATCCCATCGACTAGTGATGACTTTGCAATTGTCGAGTATCTCATGCAGATGCAACTCAATGCACCACAGTTCAAAATTTCTGAAATGAGAGATATTTCCTCTCGCCATTCAGTAAATACGTTTAATAACTACGTAAAGAGAATGAAGAATGCGAACGTTGTTGATGCATTCGTACTCCTCAAGTCAATACAGCAACCACTTTCAGACATTGCAAGCCATGGCCTTAGAATTCCAGCAAATGGCGGATTTAAATTCCAATTAGATCACATCGAACTTCCTCCAGGACAGGAAACATACGAAATTTTGCATCTTATCATCGCACTTGGCACTGTTATCAACTACCAAAACCCAGATTCTCAATTAGATGAAATTGATTATATTCAAGCAGTTCCAACAGCCGAAGATCTTAAGGGACATGATTCAATTCGTGTTGGTGATGATAACACATACTATGTTTTCAATGCTAACCAAATTAAGACTGCTCATTACATCCTTTGCAATGGATCAAACAACCTTACACATGATAAGCATATTATCAATAAATGCGGTGTTTGTGGCAAGAACAACGCTACAGTTTACTGCCAATCCGATGGCATCAAACTTTGCGATGATTGCGACAAGAAGACTCATAATTCGAACCCATTATTCCAAGCTCATGTACGTGTTCCACTCAGAGAAGGTCTCCCACAGACCCAAATGTGCCAATTCCATCCAACACAAAAAGTCTCATATTATTGCCCAAAGTGCCATCTTGCTGTTTGCGTTGACTGCAAGATCAATGGCAACCACTCACACGGTGATTTCGCTAAGCACAAACTCATTCCTTTCGTTCAAGCTTACAACGATGCTCATAACTCAACAGTCGCTAAAAATACAACACACATTACACGTCAGAAAGTCTTAGAAGAAAATATACAAGCTGCCGATGAACGCCTTGACGAAATTATGAAGAATGCTGAAGCTGTTGAAGGCGAGATCATGCGTATTGCAACAGAAGCCATTGCAAGCATGAAGAAGCAAGCTGCAGAACGCGCCAACATCGTCAAGTCCGCAAAAGCAGAACTTGAACGTAAATTAGACGAATTAAAGTCAATGAAAGAATTTATACAGATTCACGATCAGACATCAGAACCAGTCGACTTCCTTCAATACTACGCTTGCTCTAAAGAACTCGAAAAAGAGATTCTTAATATGAAAGATCTTCCAGAACCTTTGACAGTTCGTGGCGATCTTTGCGTTTACGGCAAGCTTGAAGTAGATGGCCAGAGGCCAAAGGGCGGCATGGAAGATTCTGATGCCTCAGATTTCGACGAAAATCAAGCCGAAGACAATGACCAGCCAAGATCAAGAGATATTTCAATTTCATACTCAACAAACGACATCTCCATCTCCGCACCACCTCCAACCGTTGTTTTGGAGCGCGCACCGAAATATACGAAACTTACAAAACTCGCTTCGAGGAAGGAAGAGAAGCTGAAGGCTGCAAAGCAGTCCCTCAACTTCGTTCCATTCGCTCAGAGTGAAGTATTAACCGATGACGATGACAGAAGGAAGATTTATCTTACATTACCTTTCAAAGGCGTTCCCGAGACACATCTCATGTTCTCAACGCAGAGAGATGGCAGGAGCATCATGAAGATGCACAAGATGATCGATGGCAAGGGTATCACATTAGTCCTTGTCAAGGCAAACGGATTCGCATTCGGTGGCTTCGCTGCTGTTAAATGGAACAGCGACGGAGTTCCATTTGGCGACCAGTCATCGTGCTTCCTCTTCTCATTGCTCAACGACGCACTTATCCCTGCACGCGGCCAGAGCGATGAGCAGTGCAAGCTCTTTGCTACAGAGGACACACTCACTTTCGGTCGCGAAGATCTCAAACTCGCTGAAAACTTCGACAAGTGCTCTTCTCAGATCGAGAACTCGTATGGCGTTGGCTTAGTTTATGGAGGCGAGAGATCAAAGACTTTCCTTGCTGGTACTAATCAATTTGTTGCTGATGTTGTTGAAGTTTGGGGATTCTTCTCCTCCGAATAAAATAAATAATTTTTTTTATAAATAAATATTTTTGGGCGCAAACATCACAAGAGCTCCAAGCGGCAATATCCATAAAGCTGAATCAATGGTTCTTCATACATAATTCGAAACATTGAAAAACATTTGATTTATTTCGTTTTTCTACAGAACACAAGCAAATTCTATACTTGTTAGCAGTATTTCTTAATCCAAGATCGATGTAATTGTTCCAAATACCTTCTAGAGCAACAAACTCTATATTATATTGTATTCTTTCAACAATAAGAAATCCTCAACATGTGTCCATCTATGGAGATACATATTTCTATAGAAATTATCATCTTATGATCTTCCGAGATCATGATAGAGAAATATATCATGAAAATTGAGAAGTTTGAATACATTTGATTAAAATTCTAGATACTACTAAACATAAATGAGTAGTGACTGCATAAAATGATATATTCGATTAGTACGATAAGAATTGGAAATTCAAGAAAACATGACATTTTTTTGAATGAAAAAACGATAACTTATGTCAAAAGAGATCTAATTATAAGAACTTATATCAGTATTAAAGCATATTATCATTGATTTATTTTCTATTAAGTGTTGCAGGTGATGTTCGAGGTGTTACATTCTCTGATAACTTTGATCGATTAATCCATGCACCTCCATCTTTAAGTGGTGAGTATATCATCAGAAGTTCAGTTATTGAGATCTCAGGTGGCAGCACACTTGATGAGAGTCCTTTCAAAGAATGTCGTTCTAAACTCACATCAATCCGATTTGATATTTCAAGCAAAGTCAGATCAATTTGCAAGTTCTGTTTTTCCAGTTCTTCTCTTGAGACTGTTGACATGGAACAATGTACAGAACTAAAAAGTTTGAACAATTCCTTATTCTCGATGTGTGCCAAACTTATATCCATCAAAATGCCTCCAAGAATCACTTGGATTGAAGCAGGCGTATTTTATAAAAACACCAATCTTTTTACACTAACCATTCCTAATACTGTTGAAATTATTAATGGCTATTCTGGTATTGATGGCGCCACTTTTGGAAGTACCTTATCTCAAATTATTATTTCTGAAGATTCCATGCTTAAGAAGATTGATTCGGCTGCTTTTTATGGTTCAAAGATTAAAAGTATTTTCATTCCTCAGTATTTGACATCAATGGATTCTTCACCATTTTTATATTGTAAATTAGAAAATATAATAATTGATTCTCGGAATCAAGTTCTTAAAACTGACGGCAAAACAATATATAAAGATGACAATGCTACAATTTATATTGTTTCTGCATATGTTAGTGGTGAATATACAGTACCCTCATTTGTTAATAAATTATTTGGTGCATGCTTTAGAGGAGTTCCAATAACCAATATTATTTTTCCTAATCATTCAATCGAATTGAATAATTTCTGCTTTGGTGAAACTAAGATTGTTAATTTTGAATTTCCATCTGGAATCACTAAAGTGCCGTCAAGCTTCTTTTCTGATTGCCACTTATTAAAATCAGTTAACCTTTCAGATAACACTACGTCAATAGAATCTTATGCATTTAATTCATGTTTACGACTTAGCAATTTAATATTACCATCTAAACTTGAAAGGATCGGGGATTATGCTTTTCAAATATGTCCAAATTTAAAGAAGCTAATTTTTCCATCTACTTTGAGGGAGATTGGGCAATCTGTTTTCAGGAGTAGTAGTCCTGAAATCAATACAGATAGTAATAATAATTTCTTGTATGAGAACCATATGCTATTGTCAAACAACAGAACAACTCTAACAGAGTGTTTTGGAACAGACTTAAACACTGTTTTAATTGTCCCGATTGAATGTGTTACAATAGGAATAAATACATTTTATAATAAGGATATCAAAAAAGTCACATTTGCCGGAAATAATCTTACTAACATCCGAGAGATGGCATTTAGTCAATCTAAAATTGTAGAGATATATTTTCCGTCGAGTCTTCAAACACTCGGTAATGGATGCTTCAAGTCATGTTCGCTCTTGACAACTGCATCATTCAGTGGGACATCAATCAAATCGATTCCTGATGACTGCTTCCGTGATTGCACAAAACTCACTGACATCGTTCTCCCTTCTTCGATAACATCGATCGGAAGTTATTCCTTCTATAACTGCGTTTCGATTGGTGATATAGGAATTCGTGATACACAAGTATCGAAGATCGGAAGATATTCATTCAGTTTTAGTGGACTCAGTACTTTCGAATCTTCTAAGTGTCTTTCAGAACTACTATTGAACTCATTTGAGTCGAGTTCAGTTTCGCGTGTTTCCATCTGTGCGAATAACATCCCAGATGGATGTTTCCATAACTGCACAAATCTTGCCAGTCTCACTCTGTATGAAGGCATCGTCACACTATCTATCATGTGCTTCAAGGGATGCACGAAACTCGAATCTTTCACAATCCCGAGTACAACTACAACAATCAACTCTTTCGCATTCCAAGGATGTTCTTCTCTGAACTCTGTCACACTCAGTCAAGGAAGTGTTCTCAGAGAAGTTTTTGGTGGCGCATTCACAGATTGTGATCTTCTTGAGAGCATCATCTGCAACAGTGCTTCACACACGTTCAGGAACGGCGCACTCATGGATGCTGACGAATCTAATCTCATCGTTTTCATCCCATCAAGCAAGATCACGACTTTCATTGTTCCATCAACGATGAAAACAATTGGTCAATATGCATTCATGGGAAGCAAAAATCTCATCCGTGTTATATGCAACGGCGACACTCTCACGACTATCGGTTTCATGTCGTTCGCTAACTGCGTCAGCCTCTCATTCCTATACGTGTCATCGTCGAGCCTCACCACGATTGGTGATCATGCATTCGATGGATGTCCGAAACTTCGCAAGTGCGGAAGTGTTCAATGCATGAAGAACAAGAGAAACATGTTCATTGAAAAAGACATACCTTCGATCTCTTTTATTGAAGTTTGTTCAAGCTACGAACTCACATGCAAGATGCAAGGCATATATAAATTTTCGTTCTTAAATCTATTCCAAATTGTTTTTATTCTTATTTAAATGATTTTGTTTTCAAATAATCAAAATTATGAACAAAAATATGTTTATTTACATATTTGGATCATTTCTATCTCATTCTATAAACCTAGCACGCTTAACGTTTCGTTTAATATCATATATTTTTTATATATAACCTACCCAATTTTTTCGTGAAATTTTGAATTGCTCATGTGTCAGAAAGGCGACAATTGAATATCGATACTTACCCTTCATTTCCAGGAATAAATTTTTTTTGCATGACCCCCTACCCATGGGTCTAAAATGGCATATTTTTCTAAAGCATAGTGACAGAAGACAGCTAGACAATTTTGAATAGCAGAACATCTAGGAGCATCGCTAGGAGATAATAAATAGACAACCTCCTTGCAAATCTGAGAGGGTAACGGGCATGATTATTCAAGATTTGATCATGTCATAACTCACCCAATTTAGATGACACAAGTCTGAAATTTTACCACTATTATGCTGATAGGCTATTGTTAATAAACAGATCACCGTTTCGAAATTTCAAAAATATTGCAAAATATGATAAGCTCAAAATTATTCAAGCACGTGGAAAAACAGATATTTTATGATATATGGCATAAATTTTCTAAATGTACTTTCTAAATAGAGCAATCTCAAAAAAGATATAATTCGAAATAATATCACTATTCTGGAGAGTGTTATTCTTATAAAATGCATTTCAATGAGCACAGAAGCAGGAAAATATAGAATTCAAGCTTATTAGTTAAAAATATATAAAGAAATATGATTTTGTCATTTAACCATTTAATATATGCGTTTAGCAAATTTAAAATTGAATTTATTTCTTATTTAAATAATATTTAATAAGTTCGTTTATAATGAAATAGATAAATTAGAAATCTTTTTTGAATTGCTAATTTTTCAATATAGATTAGATATCATTATGTGTTATATATCAATGTCTTATGATGGAAATTATAATAAATTAAGCAATTTTGATTAGTCAATGCGGAATAGAGAAAAATGTGATAAATTTGTATGAATGTTGTGCTTTTGAGTGATATCAATGATTGCATTAATAATATAATGATGGGGAAAACACTACTATGAATTATTTGAAATTGCACTATCTTTTGATATTAATTGTCAAAATGGTATCAAAACACAAGTTAAATAACATGCAAAATTATTTGAATTATGTTACCACTACATGTAGATTATATTGCATCATGATATAATATTAAAAAATATGCTCTAGTATAAAAAATTATTATTGCAGAGAAAAATGTCATTATATATGAGTTTATCAAATACTACAGTACACATTATAGTTAAAATAGCTAATTGTATTCTAATAATTGTAAAAATGGTTTTATAGTTTGAATTATTAAGTGATTCAGCAAATAGAGATATGATTTTCTAAACTAATATAGTAAAAGAGTATTTATACATATGTGCGGATAGGTTTTCAAAATATATCTTACTGCATGCATAAAAAAATGATGAGATATTTTATTATCAATATTTTGTTTTAGAAAACTAATAACAAATTTGATCATTTGTGTTATTTTTGCGTTATCATCAGTAGAGAGTGAAGATAGTAAACAGCCCTTGGGCTGATAGGCGATTAAATACTATAAATTCGAATTTTTGCTCCACTTCTAGCATAGTATAATGGTTAGGAAACATCCTAGGAAAACTTGTTTTGTTGTAAACAGAAATTCATCAAAAGTGACACCTCAGAAAAGCTAAAATATTGAATTTTTGGAACTTTTGATAGAGCACGTTTTTAAATATTAATTAAAGTAAATGTATATTTTGTAAAGATTCTTTTTAATAAAAAAATAAAATTTTGGAGAAGAACACAAAATCTTCTGAAAAATAATATCACATAAACTCATATTATTTTCTAATATATAACTATTTTATATAAAAATCAAATTCAATGATCTTAAAAGCGAAGGATAAACCTCAAAATTTACGAATATAATGAGTGGGAATATAATGCTTATCTATCATAAAACCATATGAAATATCAATTTTTGCTTTACGCCTAATTTTTGACGACAATTAGCAAAAAATGTTAAATGTTAACACTCAGTCCATTTGAATATGAAAATAAAATTGACTTTGATTAAATGTTTTTATTTATCATGCAATTCTTCTTGCGACCAAAGATTTGAATAAAAGTTCAAAAAATAAGATAGCTTAAAAAATAATATACGGTAGTGTTTACTAATAGATGAATAGTATATAAATTCTATTAAAATGGATTTGATCCAAAAAAATATATAAAATTTGATCATAAATAAAATCGTTTTAAATTACTTCTTCATTTAAATTATAACAATTATTTTGGTTTTATATTTTTTGGATCAAATCCATTTTAATAGAATTTATATACTATTCATCTATTAGTAAACACTACCGTATATTATTTTTTAAGCTATCTTTTTTTTGAAATTTTATTCAAATCTTTGGTCGCAAGAAAGAATTGCATGATAAAAAAAAACATTTAATCAAAGTCAATTTTATTTTTTCATATTCAAATGGACTGAGTGTTAACATTTAACATTTTTTGCTAATTGTCGTCAAAAATTAGGCGTAAAGCAAAAATTGATATTTCATATGGTTTTATGATAGATAAGCATTATATTCCCACTCATTATATTCGTAAATTTTGAGGTTTATCCTTCGCTTTTAAGATCATTGAATTTGATTTTATATAAAATAGTTATATATTAGAAAATAATATGAGTTTATGTGATATTATTTTTCAGAAGATTTTGTGTTCTTCTCCAAAAATTTTATTTTTTTATTAAAAAGAATCTTTACAAAATATACATTTACTTTAATTAATATTTAAAAACGTGCTCTATCAAAAGTTCCAAAAATTCAATATTTTAGCTTTTCTGAGGTGTCACTTTTGATGAATTTCTGTTTACAACAAAACAAGTTTTCCTAGGATGTTTCCTAACCATTATACTATGCTAGAAGTGGAGCAAAAATTCGAATTTATAGTATTTAATCGCCTATCAGCCCAAGGGCTGTTTACTATCTTCACTCTCTACTGATGATAACGCAAAAATAAACACAAATGATCAAATTTGTTATTAGTTTTCTAAAACAAAATATTGATAATAAAATATCTCATCATTTTTTTATGCATGCAGTAAGATATATTTTGAAAACCTATCCGCACATATGTATAAATACTCTTTTACTATATTAGTTTAGAAAATCATATCTCTATTTGCTGAATCACTTAATAATTCAAACTATAAAACCATTTTTACAATTATTAGAATACAATTAGCTATTTTAACTATAATGTGTACTGTAGTATTTGATAAACTCATATATAATGACATTTTTCTCTGCAATAATAATTTTTTATACTAGAGCATATTTTTTAATATTATATCATGATGCAATATAATCTACATGTAGTGGTAACATAATTCAAATAATTTTGCATGTTATTTAACTTGTGTTTTGATACCATTTTGACAATTAATATCAAAAATTAGTAAAAATTGAATATATTTCAAAAGACACTTCTACTATTTTCATATGCAATCCTTTAATTTTAAATTTGTTTAATTATCTTCACATTATCGCAATCATTTAATTTATCTTTCTTATTTTATCAATTATCTCACAAGCTATCATTGATCGAGTACATATACCTCTATCATTCTCTTCTTATCTGATATTAAGCATTTAATATTACATATTTTTTCAAATGTTAAATTTTTTGCCTTTCATCTTTTATTATCTTCGAATTCTTAATTTACCTTATTTCTATTATTTATATATTTTAGTCTTATTAAGTGATATCATAATTTGGAATTATATATTTTTATCTTGCATTCAGATTTCAACTTGTGGAGTGTTGCATAATAATTAATGATAATTTAATATCAGCGCTCAATAAAAATAGGATATATCTTCGTTTTTTGAGCAATAATTGGAAAAACAACAAACAATTTGCACAAAATAAATTTAATTCATTTTTCTATTTTTATGCAAGAATTTTTTCATTTTTTGAACAAAAGGGCCATATCATTTGAAAACATACCATAAAAAATATACTTTATCAATCAAAACGATTGTAAAGTACTCACAAAATCTAGATTGAGAGGCGGTCAATGACTTTTGAGGGGAAATTAACGCATGGAATTTAATATTATTTAGGTTGATATTCTTGCTTATTATTTCAGAAAAAAATCTTAAAAATTTCAATATGAAAATTGAAAGTAATTCAAAAAATTGCTAACATGTAAATTTTAATATCCTATGCATAATTTCATATTTTGAACATTTTTTATTTTTGTTTAAAACTTAAAATTTTGCGAATTTAATATAATTTATAAAATATAATACGTATATATATTTAAAATACACTAAATTTAATTGTTAATTGACGTTTTTGGGAATGAATTTTATCAAAACATGCCTGAATCCGAAAATTTGAAAGAACGAATTACACAATCATATATGTAGAATTCAAAATACAAACTTAAAGATTGTATACGTTTAAAATTATTCAGATTGTGTTTGATTTCCACTCATTCTGTTTCTTTTGAACTCTAACACTAACATTTCATGATGATTACATGATCCATTTATACATGGTTGAATTGTTCCAGATTCTACCAGAAAATCAATCCAAATTTCTCAATGCATTCATGTTGATTGGACAAAATTTAAAATTTATCAGCCTGTTTCCAGAGAAACTCATATATTCCCTAATGAAATGTAATTTTTGCTACATTTATTTCAATCAAATTTCAAAAAATTGACTGCAGAGCTTGAAAAGGTGATGAATCATGTTGTTATTAGATGTACATATTAGATTTACTATTTCCAAAAAAATGCTCAAATTTGAATAGTTTTTAGAAATTTTGGAATTACACTCCTTACATTATATATAATTAAATGTTTAAATTTTATTTATTTTTCCCTTTTAATTTTATAACGTGCTCTATCAAAACTAACCTCTCAATTGAAGGCCACAAAATCTAAGTAGTGAGGGTACACAAATTTTGTATGGAGTACGGTTCAATTTTTGAGAGCCTCACTACTTAGATTTTGTGACTACCTTATGTTAAGTTTAAAATTCGAACAAACCTGCAAATTTGAATACTTTACATGATTTTTCAATGCCTATATTTCAATGAATACTCAAAATTAAGCCATGATTTCTATATCAAAAACATTCTATATTAAGAACTCTTTCATTTTGATTTTTTTCGAAATTCATGGGTAATCCATCATCTCAAACTATAAATTTTGAAAAAATTGCAAAACTCTCACAATATGAATAGATTTGCATCAAAATATTTTTTGTTGTTCTAGAATAGTAATTCGGTTAGTAATTAACAGATATTTTTTATTCATTCAGCAAAAAGTTGCTATTATATGTAGTAATCACAAAAACAGGCCATGTTAATATACATGAATAATGACAATGATTTGAAAAATTATCGAATGAAAAAATGAATTTAATCAAAATAGATAAACAAATTCACCATTAAATTTATCTACATACCAATAAGATTTACACATGTGGTTACAATAGTTTGTATTTATATTAAGTGGACAATTATTTTCAAAGATAATCTTCAATTATTCCTTCCATATCAAAAAAACATCACAAATTACTCGGTAGAAACGTTACCTATATTCATGCATAACTAAACCTCCAAAATAGTGCAAATATTGAATTGAATTTTATTGCAAATCTTTGTTCATCATATTTTATTAATAATAGATTGACAGCTCATAGTTGATACTTAATCAAAGCATAAACAATAAAGTTGATGAGATTTTTATTCAAATTTAAGTTAAAATAGTTAAATTAAATTCAATTTAAAATGTTTCCACGACATAAGAATTTTTTATTGGGTTCATATCCTTGTCTATTCATAAAGAATATGTTAATAATGAGCATTTGGAATGATTGAGCACTTTTCAGTCATTTACAAGTATTTATACTAAGAAAGAAAAAATAGCATCAGTATTCATCACAATGTTTAGTATTGTTACATGAAAATCTAAATTTACTTGAATTTTTTAGTTAGCATATAGAATTAAATTCATTTATTATTAGTATTGAATATTTTTTATTCTAAATAATTTTAAATCATTATATTGGCTATTTTTTAAAGATATTTCAATACCAAATCCCTCAATTTTTAGTTTTTATAGATTTTTTACAATAAATCATTTTAAATACAATTCGTAGCAGTTTATTAAGTAAATCGTATATTGGTAAAATTAAAATGGTAAAACAACAATTTTCAAATTTTTTTGTCAGAAATTTGTAATTGGATGCTCTTAGATATTAAGCTCATTATTCTTCAATGTCATCATATGTTATTATAGAAATACCAAACTAATCCAAGTTTTAAAATATGCTACTGAATTGGCACTATTGTTAAGAGATTTCAAAATTTTGAAGCTCAAAGATGCTTTCTACCTATAGGATTTACATGGATATATAACTGAATCATTCCAAAACCTAATATTTAATAAAAAAAATTAAAAAATATTGAAAGTATAAAAAATAAATAGTACATACATTGTAAATTTGTTTGGTCTAATTTTTATTGTATTTGGCTATATTTAATTTTTGGCGGTTAAACGGTTTGGTCGAATCTCCTTTTTGGATTCTAATTATATTTTCGCACGAATCACACTATGTAAATACCAATTTTGATGCGAGCCTGGAATCAACGTTTTTGAAATGCAAAAATTTTTCTTTAGTAAATTCATAAAAAATATGATAAATAGATACTACATTGTATAAAAATAATATTTAATTTATTTAATTTGACTTTTATTTCTTTAAACTATCTCATTAGGTCATGATATCAAAAACAAATAAAAAGTACAAAGTATTTATATTTAGTATGTGCTCTAACTAGTGATGTTATTCTCGTATTCTAGAACACGATATTCATCGAGTTATGATTTAAACAAAAATTACCACCAAAATAAAAGTGACGATGATACCTGGAAATGAAGGGTAAGTTTCCCTGATTTTTGAAATATAAGAACTATGAATTATGGACATTCTAAATGTCATAATTTAAGGCTAGTAAAGCATATATCAAAATTCTCGTCTATTATGTGGAGTGAGTTATAAATCACGCTTTAAGTATCTATATGAACTTTGTGGAAGCAAGCTATGTCAACACTGTGTTGAATTTTCCAGAAGAATGACTCTAAATTTGTAAGATAGGTAAATTTTTTTTCAGCCAAAATCCTGAGAAATTTTTAAACGTGCATTTTTTAATGGATTCAACAACTGCCCAAGTTATTAAGATAGCTACATGGAATGTTGCATCCTTACGTGCTAGATGGAAAGATAATTTCACATTTTATATAAATTCTTCAAAACCAGATATAATTTGCATTCAAGAGACTAAATTTCATGTCGATATGAAAGAATCTCTTAAAAACTTTAAATTAGATGGATATAAGGGATACTTCTTTCATGCTAAGAAAGCCGGCTATGCAGGTACTTGCATTTACACAAAATATAAACCAGTTTCAGTAAAGAGAAGTTTTGCAGATCCAGATGGAAGATGCATTACAATGGAATTCAAAAACTTTTACTTAATTAATACATACGTTGTTAATGCTGGTGAAGATTTAGGTCGACTTGATTACAAAATTAAAGAGTGGAATCCAAAGATTAGAAACCACATTATGGAACTTGAAAAGAAGAAGCCTGTTATCTGGACAGGTGATTTGAACGTTGCACATAAACCAATAGATATCTGGCAAGCAGAAGGACATGAAAAGATTGCAGGTTACACTGATGAAGAAAGAAAATGGTTTGATGACTTCCTAAACGAAGGACATATTGACATCTACAGAGAATTACATCCAGAATCTCATGAATTTACGTTCTTTAACTACAGAGGCCAGGCAAAATCGAAGAACCAAGGATGGAGAATCGATTACTTCATCACAGGAAAAGGAAATATCGAGAAGCTTGGTATTTCTGACTGCGTTATCGAAGGAACTATTGATGGCAGCGATCATCAGCCTGTTATTCTCCTTGCAGATAAAGATAAGATAATGAAGGATGATGAGCCAGTTACATCATCTGAAGTTGAGATGCTTACAGCAGGAAATATCAAAAGTTTCTTTGGTTGAGATGCTCATTGTATATTTATTTTATCTTGTTAATATTAGCTTGTTTTTGAATATACTAAATATATGATCTGTTATTCAAAGTGCATCCTTTAAACTTATCGAATACCAGATTCTTCTGCAATATGAAGAGTGGTTTTTCCATCATTATTTTTTCATTGATATTTGCACCATGTGGAAGAAGAACTTCGGTTGTTTCTGCACTATTAGATACTGCTGCAATATGAAGAGCTGTTGTTGCGTTATCCTTTTTTTTGAATTGATATTTGATATATTTGATAGGAGATATTGGCAAAGAGATGGAAAACTAAACATCGCCGAATTAGTTAGGCAATTGTTAACATCATTAGTTTGATCGGAATAAACTAAAAATGATTCAAGATTGTTATAATGTACACTATAAAATTTGTTTTCATTCATCAAGAATGTAACAAAGTCTACGATAATGGATTTGGACACAGTTTTTAGTTAAACTTGTATTAATTCCTCCAACTTGTATTAAACACGTTGAGAGGGAAGAAAATGAAAAATAGAAAGAGAGTCATAAAAAATAAACGTACAGTAAATGGATCAATTCCAAGAAATCGCTGATAATTTTAAAAAACTACAGATTCTTGATCAAAAACTCAATGAACTGAAGTCACGTGCAGAAGCTCCAGCCGAAAAACCAGTTCAAGTGAAGGAAGAAAATGTCGAACTTCAACTTCTTCTCGAAGAACTTGAACAACAGCAAAAAATATCTGTTCAACTATCAGAATATAACACGAAATTACAAAAGCGCTTACAAAAAAAGAAGTCTACACTTATAAAAGTTCAGGATGAATTTGATGTTTTCAAGAAATCACAAAATGATTTCATTCAAAAACGAAAGAAAGTATTCCAAGAACAGCAGGATATTGAAGAACAAAATGCCCTCAAAGAAGAAAAAAGATTAAAATCATCTTTGCAATTATTACTCGATAGAAATCGTAACTTAAAAGATGAGAAACAGTTAATCGAAAATAAGCTTGCTGTGATGAAAAACAACTCTGCAAAGAACAAAAAGAAAAATTAATATATTGTAGTGTGTATTGAATAAAATAATGTTTGCTATTATCTATTCACTGTATGTGAAACCTTTTTAGAAATATCAAATAGCTTTAACTGTTAAATGAATACCAGATGTTTCGGATATGATAATATTTGAGATTAAATCCAAATCAAGAAGTCAATTGGCATATTGAAAAGAGTATTTTGGTGTAATTTCATTATTAAAGATATAGAGTCTAGTTAAATGAAGAGGAAAATTTTCTCAGCGCAAGAATTCAGTGCGTATAAGGTGAGATTCTTAATGGATATGGAATGAAGTATTGTTTCTTATAATATTGAAATGCATTTCATTTTTTCAGATATTTCGCCAGAAAAAAAAATCAATGTTTGGAATTAATTCGCCTGAGAATCAGTACGATTATGCTGCCTGGCAGAAAATCTTTTCCAATTATGATCCAAGCACAATCTCATCGATATCACAGCAAAATCAAAAAGATATTGCCGAATTATACGAAAAATTCCTTGAGATTTTCCCTCATCTTCACATTTATTGGACAAAATATGCTCAATTCCAATTAGCTGCTTCAGGAGTTATTGATGATGCTATTAAAATCTTCGAAAGGGCTCTTGAAAAGAATATCTTATTTTATTCAATTGATATGTGGAATGAATTCATTAAATTCATCGTATCTAACATGCAAGAAAATAAGAAGATGATTCGCGCAGTCTATGCTCGTGCTCTTGATGCTGTTGGTTGGCACTTCAAGTCTGGCTCATTATGGACACAAGCTATTGATTTTGAATTGCAAAATTCCCGCAACCCATTCTTCTACTATGCAAAATCTGTTAAGAATCCTACATCAGATCTTGTTAAATTGTACAAAGAAATGCAAACAATCATTCCGAAAACAGAAACGGAAATCATTACAGGCAACAGTCTTGACATGACTCTTTCCGAATACATTAACCTTCCAGAAGCTCGTCTTGGCACTCAAATTGTCGCTACAGATGACAAAAACAGACTTGAAATACTTTCTCAGGTTGCAACCACATATGAACGCTCTGCTGCTCTTTGCCGTGAGATCCTTCCATACGAAAGCCAGATTACCCGTGATTATTTCCATTTCATAACTCCAGATGAAGCTCAGATCTCTATTTGGGAACAATATTCCACATGGGCAATTGAGAAAGGCAACAATGAAGCAGCTGTTCGCATTTTTGAGCGTGCAGTAATTCCATGTGCTCATATTGATGCAATTTGGCTTGAATATGCATTTTATCTCGAAGATATTGGTAAAATCGAAGAAGCACGCGAAGTATACGAGAGAATGCCACAAGATATACTTAAGCGCTGCAAAGTTTACCATGCGGCTTTCGAAGAACAATACAACAAAGAAAAAGCATCCGAAATTTACCAAAATCTTTCCAGCAGTGATTTTGTTGAAGAAGTCCTTGCAGCAGCTAATTATTTCCACAGGATACAGGATGACGAAAACTCAGTGAAAGTACTCACAGAAGCACAGGCAAGACTCCAAGCAGCAAATGACTCAAACGGTGCAGGAGTTGTCAACGCGAGATTGATGGATATTCAGTGGCCAACACAACCTGTTGAAAACTCCGCTGTTTCTATTGTTAAATTCTGCCAACTCGCGGAAAATGATGATAAAAACACGTTGCTCTTCAATGCTGTCTTCGGAGAACCAGCTCCAATTTGCTTGGAAGACAGAGTACAACTCGCTGTTCTTTACTACGAATTAATAAGAACTCTCAATGTCAGTTTGGATTTCCAAACTCAGTTGGAAATGAAAGTCCAACAATTGAAGTCGAAGTTATTGTGGTACAGGTCTTTCTTCGATCAGAATCAACTCATCAATGAAGTTCCGCCTGAAAGAATACAACAAAACTGGGAGAAATATCAAGAAGGCTTATAAAAAAAATGATGTTTTTTCAACTGATTTTAATTTTTTTTTTTTGAAACACTCATAAACAACAAGTTACTCATTATATACAAATCCTATGAATTCAATCGTGAATGTGTATAATTTGATATTCTCAAAATTGAATCTTATTTATTATATATTAAACTTGTTTACTCAAAGCATCACCAATACTTGGATTCCATTTTTCTTTTGAACTTATAAATATAATGGATATCTCAAGAATTTTAAATTATTTTTTTTATTATTAGATTTTCATGGATTGTAAAAAATAGAATTAAACATGTATATTTGTTTTACTCTTTATTATCTAATACAGCAATCCAATCCGAAAGGTAAAAAATTGAATTTGGATTTCAGTTAATTAATTGGCTATTTGATTAATTCTTACTCATCAGCTCCTTCTTCTTCGCCGTATTCTTCCTCTTCGTCATCATTGAGAGGTTGAATTAAGCCAACAACGTGTACATTGTAAAGGCCATTAACACTGAGAGTTACGCTGTTAAATGGTGTGAAGTCGTAGTTGCAATTTAAATGCTCGTTCTCGCCTGGAATAAATGTAGCAAGGAGCAATTTTGAATTTTCGACGTCTGGCTTTGCATTTGGATCTTCTGGATTAGGAATCAATGTTTTAATGTCTGCAATAAGACGAACTGGTTCTGCCTTGAAATCTTCTGGTAATTCGCCAAGACAGATATTTGTGATTGAAAGGCGAGCATCATCAGGAAAATCTACTGAATACTCTTCGCCTGGTTTGACAACTGCTCTCCAAAATGTCGATGGATTATCGCATTGACACTCTTCGCAATCACACATTCGTAGGTGTCACTTTTTTTATATTTATGATCTCTATCCTTATGGAATAGGATTTATTACAAAAAATCTGATGATCAGAAAGGAGCGTACATATCTGCATTTAAGGAACATCTGAATGATATTTTAATAGTTAAATGTATCTTGTTCATGAATTCCAAATTGATATGTTCAATATTCATGAATTGAAGTAACTATATAAAATCATTGAATGCATATCTTATTAATATTGAATGTCAGATACTTGATGTTGCAAGTAGCTCTGTGATTTAAGAGATAAGATCTTGTTTTGAGAATTTTAAGTAAGAAAATCATAAACAATGTAAATTAAATCTAAATGTCAATCAATTTTCCTCTAAAAATCAATAAAAAGTTTCCAAAAAAAAATCTAAAAAACAAAAAATAAATATAAAAATTACATTTTTTAACATGAAAATATTAAATTCATAAAAAATTTGGTTTATAAAAGTCATTTATTTTTACTTAAATACCGTTGTGTACTTCTGTGATTCATTTTTGAAAGAATTTTAAAATTTATCAGATGAAATACAATATATTTGCATAAGAAATTTATGTGAAAAAGATTAGTTGTATGATCTTGAACACAAATCACTTATCATTAATTTCAGATTTTTCTTTATATTTTTTGCTGTCAGAAAGTACAAAAATGTTAGGAAACGATCTTGATTTTTACCAGGGAATGCCTAACCAAAATCAACCTTATAACACTAATAACAACTATAACCCACAGGCAAACAATGCATATAACCCACAAATGCAGAATACTTATGCCCCTCCACCACCAACATTTTCTCAACACAGAAATATTTTAGAAAAGGCATCCATTATTCATGGTGGCTTTCCAGGAGAACCATCTTTATTCGAAGAACTTGGCCTCCACACTACTGATATCAAGAAAAATCTTCGTCAATTACTTTTCCCAAACAAATATCCAAAACCAATTGATCAAAACTATTTAGCTTCCATCTTTATGATTATCATTTATGCATTCAGCTTACTATTCTTCAAAGGTCCTAAATTTGGCTCAGTTTATATTGTCACAGTACTTGGACTTATTGTATTATATTTCATCTTCCAGAATATTTCTAAGGCATATGCTGAGAAAGAAATCGTCACATTATCAATTGTTTTTACAGCTATGTCATATTGCGTGTTGCCACTTATCCCAATCGCCGTAATTTCATCTCTTTTCCGCTTTTCATTAGTTGGTAAGGTTATAACAGCTATTCCGTTTGTTGGTTGGGCAACATATTGCGCAACAAGATATTTATCACAATATTACCAGAATTTTGCAAAGGAATTGATTGCTCCACCTTTCTTTATCTTCTACTATTACATGTTTTTCATTCCTCTCCTTTAATTTTAATAAAATTTAATGATATTGTTTGAAATTGATTGAGGATTTTCTCTTTAATAGCAAGTAGATCAAGTACATGTCATACTATTGACAGCTTTGATATAAACTTTTTATTGGATTTTTGTAAACTTCACAATTTTGCCAATAAATTTAAAATGCTTCCAAAGCGTCAACCAAGACCTAAGAAAGGATCAACAACCGAAACAACGGCAACAAATACAAATACAAGTACCGGCGTTCAGAATGATAGTGAAATAACTCCAGATCTTCGAATTGATAACAAACAAAATTCGCCATCAAAAATACAAGCACCATCTTCACAAAAAACTTCAGCACCACGCAATAAGACACCACATATCAGCGATTTTGAACAAGTTTTACTGAAGAATATCGAAGAAGAAAGACAGAATTTTAATGAAAACCAACAGCATACAGATAGAGCTCATACACCATTATCTCAGCGAAAGATTCAGAAGAAAAAAGCAACATATGCTGATTCATCAACTGATCCCGACACAACTACAACAGGAAGAACTACTATAGCTCTAGAAACAGAAACCAATGATCTTTTAGATCGCAATATTAAAAAGCTAGAACCAACAGCGTTTTCCTATTTTGATAGATTAGCTTATGTCGACTACTCTAAGCCTTTAGAGGAGCAGAAGTAAATATGTTTGTTTGTTTTTTTATATTTCAACACATTTTTAAATCATTGAAGCTTTTTTTCACCACAAAAAATTGTAAAAATTCAAATTTAAATCAGAGAATTTTAGTTTTTAAAGGAAAATACGAATCATAGTTGATAGTGTGAGGAATTCTAAATTTCCATTGACATAAAAATATTTTTATTTGTTACTTTTTGAAATTTTAACAAACGTCTATTTGAGAAATGTCGAATCTTCTTGCGCTTGATCAGCCAGATCGAGCTCCAATAGAACAGATTAACAAATCAAAAGAAATAATAAATAAATTGTTTGCAAATTCGGCACAAAATCTCTCGAATATGGTAAATAAACAAACACAAATTGAGCAAGAAAGAGCTCAAATAGTAAAAGCATCAAAAAAGAAGTTCGGTTTAGATTATGCAGAACTCCAAAAGAAAACTCATTCGGAAATGGAAGAAGCAGGCGAAGTTTGGGAATCGTTATTAAATATTTCAATGCCTCTTGAATTGAAGCAACAATTAGAAGAACAAAAAGCGCGTTGTGATGCAATTGTACAAGAGAAACTCGAATTCATACATAAAATGGAAGAAGACGTTTTAATGAGAGATCATGAATACGTGAACAAAGTTGCTGCACAAAAAGCTTTAATTGACGAATTTGTACACACAATGAGAAATCAGGAAAATAACATCAAAAAGACAATAAACTCAGAAATTAAAAAGATTCTTGGAGCTTACAATCAAGAAGTCACGTCTAGATCATATCAACTCGATAGAGAAATCAAGAATCTCTCAGCCAAACGCCAAGAACGCGAAACTACTCTAATGAATGACATTTTAGAATTAAATATTAGTCATCGTGACCAATTGGAAACAATACGTCAGCAAAACAACGAAAAATACATGCAAATACGTACTGCTCTCGAAAAGAAATTACAAATTGCTCAAGAAGAACAAGAAGATAGAAAAGCACAATATATTTATTCATTGACACAACTTGATTACGACTATAAGATTCTTCAAGAAACAAGAGACGAACATCAAAACAAACTCAAGCTGCAGAACGACAAAAAGAGTAGACAAAGAGATGTTTTAATTAAATTACAAGAGAGATATGAATCAGAAAAGCGAAAGTTGATTGATGTCAACATGCAAATCACAAAAGAATATACTAGAATCGCATCATCATACCGTGAACTTCAATCAAGGTTTAGAAATGTAGCTTATACAGATTTCAACAACTTTAGAGAAGTTTGGAATCTCAACGAAAAGAGATTACATGATATTGTTCTAAAGATTATTTCTGCAGACAACATTGTTATGGAACAACAGCTTGGAAAAGATCCTAATCCAGTTGATCCAGAGTATTTGCGCAGATGGATCATAGAAAGCGATGAATACGAAGATCTCACAAAAACACCTCAGCTTCCAACACAAAAAGACAATGGAGAATCAAACAAATTAACAAACACAATTTTCACAAAACCAGAACTTAGTGAAAATCTTGAGCACTTGAGAAGAATGATTTGCGATGAAGTTGGCTTCATTGTTGATGAACTTGTTAGAAATATCATTGGATTAGATCCAAATGTCTCTTTAGATGAAGATTCTCAATGCATAAAAATGGATGCTTTGTTTAAAGAACTTGGTGTTTCAACGGATGAAGATATCGAAACATTGATGTCGTATTTCATCAAAGAACCAGAGTTTAATCAATTGGAACATCCTGATACAGTTTCTCCTCATGAAGTTATCTCAGCTTTGAGAGCATTTGTCGATGCATATCATCCAAATAAACAGCAAGCACAAATGAACATTTTCAAGCAAATTGTCAATGATGCAACACAGAACACATCAAGTGAAGTTGCACGCGGAATCATGCAGCTGCAAGTCAAGATGAAGAAGCAGCTTCCAGCACAAAGAAGGTTCTGGGAAAAGAAGGCAGAGATAGTCAGCGAAGATATGTGGAGACTTTGGAATATGACTTTCAAAGGAATGCAGAGATACTACGAAGTTCTTGAAAACAGAGCGAAATTGATTCAAGAAACATCAGATTTAAGAAGACAGAATGAGGAATTGAGCGTTATCTTGCAGAACTATATCGATACTAAGGATGATACTAATCTGATTTATCCTCCTTGCGATACTGTTGGATTTTTCGATTAATTCCTTTTATTTCCGTTTTCTTATCAAAAATTGAAAGAATTTGAATATTACAAACGGATATATTATTGGACATAAATATGAATTGTGTTTTTGTTGTGTATTGTAAAATAAAAATAAGCTATATCTTATAAAACTTATTCGCCTCTCTTGCTACAGCTGCTTAGTACGTTTTATTCTGTTCGATGTTGGAATGGAAACGAATTTTGATCTATTTTCTATTTTCTCACAGAATTATTGATAAATCAAGGTATATTAGCAAACATGCATTCGTTTCATAATGTATTAGTCCCGAACATCATGGTAAATAAAGCAGAATACCTGAAGTTAGCAGAGAATTTCCCAATGTTTTGATTCCAAATCAGTCACTTTTTCAAATTGAATATGCTGAAAATCAAGAAGATTTTACCATTTTTAGGAATATCTTTTTTATGTACATATTGGCTAGCAATATTTGATAGTTCAGCATATATCAGAGATTCTTTAAGTTGTTATAATTCTGTTGGTTACGAAGCTTCTCGCGATTTTTATTCAAAAAACGAAATAATCAATTTATTTACAAACTGTTCGGAGATAAATATAGATAAAAGTTCGATTGGAGATGTCCGTGGACCAATTCTTACATACTATTTTCAAGATTCGCCACCAATATCTACAAATATGAACAATTTTGAATCAGAATTTCATAAACATCATGTCAAAGCTACAAAAATGATACTTAGAACAGATTTAACATACACTGCTCCAAAATTTAAAGCACATTTTATGAAAATAATTCGACTTCATCGAAATGGAGTTTTATTTTCGGCAAGACAGATAATTAAAATGGATCGAATCGATATAAAACACAACTTCTTTATACGATACATTGCTTCATTGATTGCGTTCGTGTTTTTATTTTTTCATAAAAGGAGAAGGCGGAATTTACTACCATTTATACTTTCCTCTCTAACTGTCATCATGCATGTTTTCCTTTTTGGTAGGTTTTTACAAACATTTAGAATTGTTGCTGCAATTTGCTGGTTGATTGAGTTTTTGAACATGCTAAACCTGAAATACAGAGGATTTTCTATAGTTATACCAATTATTCTCCTCACACTTGCTTGTTCTATGATATTTTATGGAATATTTATGACACATTCGAAATGGTTCAAAGATATTACAACGAGCTACATTGTTACCGTATCTTTGATGGTTGGAGACCATATTCAAGAAACAATGACATCATTACATGGACATTCTGCAGTATTATTTTTCAGATTTATTTGTTCGAGTACACTTGTCTTGATACTGACATTTATTATTATGGCGTCAGTCGGAAAACCATTTAATAAGCTTGTTTCTTCAAATGATACAAACCAAAATAATAATTATCAAATGTAACAATTTACAATAATATATTTTGATTTTTCGTGAATCAGAAAATTGATATTTTCCTTTTCACGTCATAATCAATTAACAAACAAATTTTTTTTATAAGTTCGAAAATTTTGAGTTTTTGAACTTATTGGCAAGTTCTCTTGTCTTTTCTATATAAAACATTGAGTCATTTGGGTATTCAAACTGAACAGCCGGTTCTAAATTCGTTCCTTCTGCCCAATTATTGAAGGAATTGATCAAAATCACTGTCGGATTATATTTCTCAGCTTCTTTCCATCTTGACTCGTAGAATGTACCATTATTTCTCTCTTTCCTTCGATGTCTGTTGTGAATCGGATTAATTAAGTCATGAAACCCAGGTGCAATCGTTGGAACGAAGAAGACATCTCTTCCTTGACAGAATGCATCAATCCCTTTCCAATCATTGACTAAAGATCCGTATGTTTCTCCTTCTGCAACAAAATATGTAATAAATCCTTCAAAACCTATCTCAAATGCTTCATGCATATTGTCGGATTTTATCAATGTTGTCATGAATAAAGGATTATACTTAGATTCTTTAAAATGTGTCAGAATTTTTTGAAATTCAAATACATTTTCGAATTTATGAGAGTCATATATGACAATTACAGGTCTATCTCCTATTTTAAGGATGCTTGTGTGATTTCCATATTTGTCTAGGTAATATTCGATCTCTGTTTTTAAAGTTGATAAGTTTCTTCCTTGATAATCATTTATCATTGCACCAATGTGAAATTTATGAGCAATTTTAATATTGAACAACATATCAACAGTATGTTTAGATCTATTATGAGTGTCCGATATGTTCATTGATGTCCATGGCACTAATATAGCATCAATACCAGATTTTTCAATATATTCGATGTGTATTGTTATAGTACTTATATTGGAGCTCGAATATCGCTCAAAAGGCTCAAAATACGCTAAAGATAAGTTATTTAATTGATCCTGTTTGCATTTGCAGGGCTTTTTATACCAACCACCTGCATAACCATATGTTTCATTGTCACCATATGATGCGAGATAAACTGCCCACACTTGTTTTTGATTCCCATTATCTAGTATTTTTGAGCATTTGAGTTTAGGACGGATTGCATTCATTAATAAATAGCAAAGGAAAGTTAAAAACATTATAGTCATTATCTCACAATAGGGATTTGAATCTTTGGTATCTTCTTTCATTGGTAATTAATAATTCTGATTCTGTTATACGCAAAATTACAGAGTGTTTGCATGAAAAATCAGGATATAAGGTCATTGGATGAATATTTGAAGAAATTATAAACAACCGAAAACACACTCCAATGCTTGTCAGTGCATTCTTTGCATTCCATTCTAAAGAAACTAATGAAGTGTCCATTTAGTTTAGATTTTATAGATAAATCACTCGATAATTTTACAGTTTATTATCCCTTACTCCTCACAATTTGATTGAAAAATTGAATGGTCACGGATTAAATAATAAATAATATAATATTAATTTCTCTATTATTTTAATTTTTTACAAAGATCATACTGTTTACAGATGAGACCTAAATCTTTTCAATTCTATGCAATTGAATTTTTGCTCAAATTTCATTTCCTATTCTTTTCTTTATTTTAGTTAAGGGATTTGTTTTTCGCATATATTTCATAACGTAAGAAAGTGAAAAAATATTTTACATTCTCGCAACTGACATCTTATAATTTTATAATTATTACATAAAGAAATGATAGGAGTCATGATATCAAAGAGAATTTTTCACTTAGGTCGTTAAATATATTCTCTTCTGTTTAAATTTGATTTTTTAAACGTTCGCAGAATCATTAAATACAATGTCTGACGTTGAACTTAGTGAATGCTCCTATCTTACTGAGATGGAAGACCCAGCTATTGCTGCCAAAGACAATCAAATAAGAGATTTAACATTTGAAAAGCAGCGCCTTGAAGATCTTGTTAAGAATTTACAATCTTCTTTAGAAAACGTTAAGACACAGCTTAAAGATACTATAGCAGCTGTTGACACATCAAATACTGTATCTTCCGAGATCCAAAAGCTCAAGAAGGAAGTTGCTGATCTAACAACTAAGAAAGAACAGTTAGAGAGACAAGTTGAAATCCTTACAAACTCATCAAATGATGCTACAAAGAAATTCTCAGATGAAGTTACATCATTAACATCCCAGAGAGATGAAGCAATTTCTAATCTTGAGAAATCTGACGAACGCGTTAATAAGTTACGTAAAGAGCGCCAAGAACTCCGTACACAAGTTCAAGAAAAGGATGAGTTACTTCAAGCCATCACAGAAGATTATCAGAAGTGCAAGACTCAGAAGAAGAAGTTAGCTCAGAAATACACAACAGCAGCTGAACAGCTTACACAGGCAGAACAAGAAAAGGATGCCTTAGCATTTGAAAACCAGAAGTTAGTAAACGATCGCACTACAATTAACTCTGAGATCGAATCACTTCGTCTCAAGATTGAAACAGCTAAGTCATTCAACAATGATATCGAAGGTTCCCTTCAACCACTTCAGAATGAACTTCAGCAGAAAAACGAATTGATTTCTGCACTTGAAGAACAGATCGATTCCCAACGTGAAGAGATCCAGAATTACGCTGAAGAACGCCAAAAGATTCTTGATATCATGCAAGCAATGCAAAAAGCTCTTGCAGATGTCGAAGGATCTTTCGAACAACTTCAGAATGAAAATGCTGCACTTAAGTTACGTGTTAAGAATGGTGCCAAACCAGTTTCCAAGCCATTTGCTACACAACAAGATTTCGATAATCTTTCTATTCCATTCACTGGCGATCTGAAGGCACGTTCTTCAAACATCATGCAGTTACCACAATATACACCATTCCAGCGTCTTCAATTAGTTCTCAATGAGTCTGCTAAGCAAATCCAGTCCTTGACAGAGCAAGTCACAATGGCCACAAAGAAGGCAGAAGCAACACAAAAGGCATTTGATAACTTTGCTGTTGATCAAGTAATCTATAGTGAGATTTGTGATGCTCTTATTGAGGATCTTAAGAAACTCGCAACAAACCAAGAACTTATCAACAACTGCCCACTCTCTGAAGGAAACGAAGACTTCCTCGAATACCTTAACCAAAAGATCGAAGAAACATCACAAGCAGTTCAGCGTGAAGCAATCAAAGATCCGAAGTATGTTAACTCAGACTTCTTCTTTGCTAATGATGTTAAGCAGCGTCAGGCTGCCATCAAGAAGCTTCTTCAACCAGAAAATTCTACATTCACACTCTTCTGCGGCCAATTCCTTACAAACGTTTTCCTTCAAAATCAGCTTAATGCCGTCACAGCTCCACTCCAGTTGATTGATAGCATGACAAAGAGTGGCGCATTGAAGGGAACACAGCTTTCAGATGTTCCACACCTCATTGAGACACTTAATGTTCGTGTCAACCATACAACAAAGCAGAACAAGAAGCTCACAAACCAACTCAAGAAGGCACAAGCTCATGAAATGGAACTCGCTCAATCTGAAAACGAGAAGAAGACAAAGATTTCAGAACTTTCTCTTCAAGTTGATAACCTTCAGAATGAAATCGGCGTTCTTAATGTTAAGCTTCAAGTTGCAAATAATGAGTTACTTCTCAAGAAGAATGAATGCGGATCACTTAACGAATTTGCTAAAGAAATTCGTGCTGGTGTTGAAGAGAAGACAAATGATCAGAAGGAAAGAACAGCTAAGCTTGAGGCTGCACTTGCCCAGAAGACACGCGAATGCGATGAGCTTTCTACACTTCTCCATGATCTCAAGAGGTCTGTTGATGAGAATACAAATGCTACAATCAAGCGCATGAGAAAGAATGAAGAAAGCTACCTCAACCAAATCGAAGCTCTCAACAACCAAGTTGATGAATATGAAGCCGAGCTCCAGAAGCGCAGAAAGATTGCAAAGAGAACAGAAAAAGCTCTCAAGGAGCAATACGATAATTCTCTCAAGGAAATGGCTGCTCATTATGAAGAAGGCAAGAAGAACCTTGAAGAAACAATTACATCCCTTCGTGACAAGGCCGAGAATTCTCGTGAAATGTCAAAGAAGCTTGTTGAAAACATGTCTGAAGTCGAGAAGAGAAATGTACAACTTACAAAGGAGAATACAGAACTTAATCAGACACTCAAGAACATCAAGCAAGAGCAGACAAACTTCAAGAACAGCATGAACAAGGCCAATCAGCAGAAGCAAGCTCAACTTGCAGCTCAGTTAATGGCTGTGGAATCAAAGGCTCAGCAGCAAATCGCCGATGAAAGACGTCAGGCTCAGAAGAAAGTCCAAGAACTTCTCACAGTTGCCTATGAGAACATCGGAACCTTCTACGGCGTAGAAGAATCAGAATATGATGTCGAAGCATACCAGCAGTCTGTGAAGAGTGCTCGTGATGATCTCGACAAACTCAGATATTTCCAGAATGAATCAACAAAGCTAGCGCAAACTGAGTAAGCTTGCTTTTTGATATTGACTTTATTTTGTTGGAATATTTTATTCTATTTATTTATATTGATATTGTGGGACGTAAACCTTATTTTTATCTTTTAATTTTCACCACTATTTTTATTAGATTGCTTTTATTAAGATAAATATCATTTAGAAAAATGGAAGAAGATATCTTTTTTGGTAGAGTACTTATGAGAGTACCTATGATTACTAGCCAAGCAAAGATTAAGTCATCCATTCAGACTATTGCTCAGAAAAGCGAGCCTGAACAGCCAGATGATGTATTTAATTTAACAATGACTGTTAGACAGTGTTTCTTACAACACGCCTTTCAATATAATACACCACATATTTCATTTACAGCTGATGAAGTGTTCTCAATTTTAGTTGGAAAAGATTATTGGAGCAAAACAAGAAATTGTAAGGCCAAAATCAAACCCACACTAATCTATTACAATAGGATACTCAATATTTTGAATAGAGATATGGAAAAAATAAATGGAAGATATCGTTTGAAATCGGCGCTATAATTGGCATCGTTTTAATACATTAATCCAATTAGTTACAAGTTACAAGCAACTTAAATGGTGAATTAATTGCAGAAGAATCAAAATTAATTTTATCTGGAATATTACTCTAATATCTATTTGATATACCTACAGAACGATATTTGAAGTATTTGTATGACAAAATACACATATTTTGTTGAAGAGAAGCTACTTATTAGCATCAAAATCAATTTATCTAAGTTACAGCAAACTGTTGTTGATCCATAACTGGATCATATCAACTTACTTACTGAATTTATAGTAAAAGACACAGAAATACTCGAAGATGCAAATAATTTTTTTTTTCTAACGCGAATAAACATAATCGTTTAATTTACAAACATCATACCAATTAAAATATCTATAATTATCAATAACACCAAAATTCTAATTTTTTTTTTGAATTTACCATTCAGGAAGTGTTGTATATCTAACTTCAGTGACTTCATCATCTATCTGCTTAGTATTCGGTCCATTGATCCATCTTTCATCCCATATTTTCTTTTGATCGCAGTTTGGACAGAAAGAACCGTAAACATATGGAGAAAAGTACCAATATCCGTAACAGCATACAATAATTGTAACAAATAACACAAAATTTGCCAGTTTTTGTGGCAAAATTGTTTCAATTAAAGCGGAATAATTCATTACTGCGAAGAATAAGGGTATTATATAATGGTATAAGAACATTACCCTTGGAATAAGTACAAATGGAATATAAGATACTATCCAACCGAATAAAAGGAAGAAATGACGATGATCAAGTTTGAAAAAGATCAAAATCATTGTTAAACCAAGCGAAATGCTTGAAGCATAGTATACAAATGGATTTCCCATGCATGCTATTATTCTATTCTGTGCTCCGTAGAAATATACTCTTCGATCCATAAGAAATGGCCAATTAATAGGCATAGATCCTGATATATGAGGAGTAACTATTTTCATGTTACTTGCGTGCATTTTTAACAACAATTGAAATATCTTAAAGAAAATACTTCCTTTTGTTATTAAATATCCAGGGAATTTCGTCTTGTCAAGCATTAAATTAAGAGACAGACTATCTATATAGCCAAATGAATCTTGACGTTCCCATAATAACAAATAATGAATTGTAAAACCTAAAATATAAATAAAAATAGCTGGCAAGAGGATCAAGGCTGCTCTATAGAATATACTAGCAACATCTGGCATAGTATTATATATCCAAAAAAGCTGTACAACAGCAGTAAAAATAATTAAACCAAGGGCGGTATTTTTGCATGATATCGCACAACCAAGCGTTACCCCACAAAGTATTGCTTGAATGTCTAAGTTCTGGGCATATAGTAAAGCTACAGCAAAAATATGAAGACAAGAGAAGAAATGAAGGAGTCCATCAGATAAAATGTACTTGCCTTCGGCTGTAATTGATGTATCGAATATGAGAATAAGAGATGCTGATAATGAAGCGAAGTATGAAAATTGAAAATATCTCATTGAAAGATAAATTAAAGGAAAACACATGGACTGAAAGATAATTGGTGTAAGTCTAAGCGACACATATGAAATCTCGTTGTTTTCGTAAAATTCGTGCGGCTTTTTACTAAATACAATATTTCCTTTGTATTGAGTTGCTCTGGCTATTCCAGCCATAACTAATTTCCCTAATGGTGGATGTATATCGAAAAAATATTGATGCTTTATATAAAAATTGGTAAAATTGCCAAAATAAACCTCGTCAAATACTGTTTGATTCGGAAATTCTATATGATAGAGCCTTAAAGTAACTGCTATTATGCCTAAGATTACTACAAACAATGAATCGTATATAGACATTTTATTTAATTCATCGTTCATTCATCAATTATAAAAATTATTTAAAATATATACGATGCACAGAAATGCGTGGTTTAAAAATTATTATAATTGATGTAAACTATTCACTTTTTGGATGACATCACAAAAGAGCGCACATCAGATATACACCGAACTGACAGAAAAATACAGAGTTTATCAGGAAACCGTGTCATCTCTGATGGTTATCAAAACTACAAAAAGTGATGAAATTCAACAAATTTTTCAAAAGATTAAGGCCAATCTAATTGAAACAAAGATTTTAACACCAGACAGGATATATACGCTCATTTCTTCTGCCTTTACGTTCAATAATCGATATTTTAGATCATATTGGACTATTTTCAAAATGATTTATGAAGAGTTTCATATTAAACCACAGAATCATATCGATCCTGTTTTACATTACTTCTTTTATAAAGAATATGGATTGCTTCTGAATGATCATGATAAAAAATATTTCGAAAAATATGAAATTGATAAATATTCATTGAATGTCCATGAACAAAACACAATCTACAGAGCAATTATGTTTGATGACCAAGAGTCATTTATTATTTTTACTGAACAAAATGACTTTAAAATAAACCAGCATCTTCAAAGCGATTTCTTTCCAAAATCAAGCACAGGAATTTCATTACTTGAATTGTGCTGCTATTATGGATCTGTTAAATGTTTTAAGATATTAATATCAAAATTTAACCCAAAAATCAGCGCTAATTGTCTTCGAGTTTCATTTTTAGGAGGCAATCCAGATATAATGCATGAATGCATGAAATTCCAAAAGCCAGATATAAAATGTATGAGAAGCGCCATTATTTCTCACAATATCGATTTTATCACATTTTTGAAGAATGAATACGAAATTGATATTGATTTAGAATATTGCGCGACATACGGAAATATCCAAGCACTACTTGTTAATATTGACATCACAAAAGAAATTGGAGAAGCCTTTTTATATTTACCTTATTTTTCGCTTACTTATCTTGTAGAATATTTCATTTCAGCTGGTGTTGATATCAATATAAAGGATTCTCATGGAAGATGCGCCCTCCATATATCAACATTGAATGATAATCAAGAAATATCAGAACTTCTCATCTTAAATGGTGTAACTGTCAATTCAAAAGATAAATCTGGAAGAACACCACTTCATTATGCAGCAATAAAAAATTATAATAAAACAGCAGAGTGTATGATTTTGCATGGGGCAAATATTAATGCGCAATGCGATGGAGGATCAACAGCTCTTCATTATTGCGCGAATTGTAATAGCAAAGAAACAGCAGAACTTCTTATTTTACATGGCGCAGAAATTAATTCTAAAAACAATAAAGGAGACATTCCACTCCACATAGCTACACATAAAAATAATCGAGTTTTTGCACAACTTCTTATTTTGCATGGTGCTAATATAAATGCTCAAAGTCAAGATGAAGTTACTCCACTCCATATAGCAGCATATCATAATAGTAAAGAAACAGCAGAACTTCTTATTTTGCATGGTGCTAATTTAAATGCTAAAGACTCAAAAGGACACACTCCACTCCATATAGCAGCACATCATAATAACAAAGAAACAGCAGCACTTCTTATATTGCATGGTGCTAATATAAATGCTCAAAGTCAAGACGAAGTTACTCCACTCCATATAGCAGCACTTCATAATAGCAAAGAAACAGCAGAACTTCTTATTTTGCATGGTGTTGAAATTAATGCTCAAAGTCAAGATGAAGTTACTCCACTCCATTTAGCAGCATATCATAATAACAAAGAAACAGCAGAAATTCTTATTTTGCATGGTGCTAATGTAAATGCTAAAGATTCAAAAGGACACACTCCACTCCATTCAGCATCAAGTCATAATAGTAAAGAAACAACAGAGCTTCTTATTTTGCATGGTGCTGAAATTAATGCTCAAAGTCAAGATGAAGTTACTCCACTCCATATAGCAGCACATTATAATAGTAAAGAAACAGCAGAACTTCTTATTTTGCATGGTGCTAATGTAAATGCTAAAGATTCAAAAGGACACACTCCACTCCATATAGCAGCACATCATAATAGCAAGGAAACAACAGAACTTCTTATTTTACACGGTGCACTTATTACTTAGGACTGTTCTATTGCATTTACCATTTAACTCGATAAACAATCCTGATATCAAAAAAGAAACAACTTTAAACATTACACCATTCTTCCAATTTCTTCAATTTATAATTGCAAATGCTCGTTTTGGATGGATACTTTTCTACAATGGTCAAATTTAGAATGCCAATAAATGATTTTTTGATTTTTTTTTTCAAAAAATCGTTGCAATTTAGTAATTTTGTTCTTCAACTCATTAGATTTTGAAATTGAATAATATTTCAACCATAGAGAATTATCATTAAATACTATTACTTTAAATAATTTAAACTCTGATCATCTAAAGTGAAAGTTATTGGAAATTGATACGACAAACTTTTCTGCAAAAAAATACTGTTAATATTGCTCACCATATAGAACACAATACAATAATATAATATCTAAACCATAAACTCAAAATTAAAACATATCACTTTGAAATCACTCTATTTCTATGATCTCAATGGGGAGAAAAAGGGATAATGCATTTTAAAAAACTCATGTTGTTATTTCTGTGCGATAAATCATAATATTGGTTTATGCCCAATATTAAAAAAGTGACAAAATGTTTTCATTCTTTCTCACTTCTTCGTTATCACAACAATACAAAATCATTGGAATTGATCAGGATCAGAACAGAATTCCATATGCATCTTTCAATTTAGACACGAACACAAAAACTATCAGACCAGAAAAATTAACTACTAATGTTTTTGAAGCCAACCAAATAAGAGTATTTGAAATTCAACGTCCAGATGGACAAAATCTTACAATCGATGCTCCTAAGTTTACAACAACAATTTCTTTCAATTTATATACTAATTTTCAAAATTATCCTGTAGCTTTCGAAGTTACATCATCTTCTAACAGAAAATCAGCAAATGAAGTTACTATCAGATTAAAGACACCATCAAAGGAATACCCTCCACATCCATTCGTCCAAGAACAGCCAGCCAGTGGTGGATTCCCATGGCCTTTGATAATTCTAGGCTTTATAATTCTTTCTCTGTGCATGCGTAACATGGCTCCACCAGCATAATTTCAATGATGAACTTTCATTGCCATTATGATAACATTTCTATGATCATTTTAATTTATATATATCAGTAATAAATATTATCTCTTACAAATTTTTGAAATGATTTTTTTTTTAATAAAAACCATCACAATAGTAATTTCAATAAAGAAATTGTAATGCACATGGAATTAATATGTATCTTCGATTTTTTTTGATCTTATTGAATATTTTTTTGTAGAAGATGAAATTATCAGATTAATAGTCTATAGAACACTTAGACTCTCTATGTAGATTCATATTTGAAAACAAACACATCTTTAAATGATGTGATCACAACTAGATTCGATTAGCTAAGTATCCATCATTGAAAATTTCATAAATGACATCAAAAAATACAGTTTAAATGATTTTCTATAACAAAACCCAAAGAACTCATCTCTTACTACATTTTTTCGAACTTTTTTCGTTTTATATATTTGAACTATAAAGGAGATTCTAAAGACAATATAATTGCAAAATCGGATTTTTGAAGTGATTCAATTCAGACTGATTACATGAAAAACTGACAATTTTGAGTATGGCTACAGAAATCCCAGTTGCATCATTGCCTCAAAAGAAGCTTCAGCAACTTCAGAGTTCCACAGTTGATCCACGCATGTACCTATTTATTGAGAAGTTCGATTTAGATCCGACAATTAACGCTGTTGTTTATGACATTGAAGTCGGAATACAGAAGGAAAACATCGTTCACATTCATAAAATCCAGAGAAGATATTCCCAACTCTTTGAGTTCGATTCTCAGATCAGACCACTTTATAAGGAAAATCGTTTCTTACAGGCTTTTCCACCAAAAAAGATGTTTGGAAATAAGGACAAGGCTTTTCTCGACCAAAGAGCTGAAGCACTTCAGAAATATTTGACAAATCTCGTTAAAGTTGCCGGAGTCATTTCAACACCTCATTTCTGCCGTTGCTTCGAGATAGATCCTAACTTATTAAACGAGTAACTTACCTTTGTTTTGCGGTTATAAGTTCAAATACATACATTGTTCTGATGCAATAAAGCTTTTGATCTATACACTATCATTTTAGATTTATTTTTGTCATCATAACAAATTTATATTAAAATTTCAAATTTCTGCATTATTGATATCATGAATCTTATATTTTCTTAGTGATAAATACATATTTTCAGAATGTGATAGCTTTTTTCGCAGTCTGCTCTTATAAATACCTTATTATCCATTTATATCACTCATTCTTTTCGAACTTCAAATGAAATGACTCCAATAAAACTTGAATGGAATATGTGCGCAATTTACTACTTAAGATAGCATATACGACTACAAGCGAAATCAGATATCGAAAACAAACTTCCGAGTGCTTCGTATTGATCGCGATATAAAAACTTGAGTAAAATCATATCACATTGAAAATCTTCCATCCATTTGATATGTTTACACATGTAAACAAATGAGATTAAATTTTGGCATAAATCATTTGAGATTTCTCATCCAAAGTCTAAAATTTTAAGGGTCATAAAAATTTTTGTTGGGTCGTCAATTGTTAACCATCGTTCTCATGTCAAAAATTTTAATTACACTTATATTAACTTAAGGCAAAATACAAGATTTTTCAAGCGAAAAATCGAAATTTTGAATCGAAAATTATCGATATCTTTTTTATAAAACTTCTCAAAAATTCTGAAGAAAAAACTTTTCTTTCAAATTAAAACGATATAAAAGTTTTACAATGTGAATAATTATTAGTAGATTAATAATCGAAAATCTTGCAGAAACGTCACTTTTTTGAATTAAAATCAAAAATGTCTATTGTGTCAAAAATTTCCGTTCAGCAACCCTCTAGTCTTAAAAATCTCATGCCCGTCAGGGAAGAAGTTCATAGGATCTATGGTGTGGCCGATTTTAATGGTTTCAATATTGAAATACCTTCATCTATGTATCAACATGGTATAGAATTATACATAGAACTTGATTCAACCGATTTTCAGATTCCAAAAATGACCGTAATACGACTTATCGGAATCATTAAACTAAGTATTTCCGAATATCCAATGCCTCACGGTAATGTTGATCCTAATGACCCAAATTTACCAGCAGTTTTATCAATTACATATTTATACGATGTTTTCAATCATAGCTCTGTCAATGTTATCAATTTTATTGCAATTCGCCGACTTTTGGAAAATTTCAAAGATGAAGTTGAATCAATCATCAGAGTACTTAAGTCAGGTTTAAATATGAGTCCTTCACTTGACAATCTCAATAAAAAACTGAGAATGAGAGCTCAATCTTTTGATCTCGAATATCTTGCCAATCAACAACAATTACTCCGCCAAAACAAATTCAAAATCACAGGTGAATCGACAATTCTTACTTCTGCTGAAATTGAACACATTCGACTCTTTATGCCAAAAAGATACAGATTATTATCATGGGAACTACTTTATTCTGCAGACAATGATGGAGTTTCATTCTCCACATTCTATTCGAAAGCAATGAAAAAGATGCCCGCAATATTGATAGTTTTAGGAAGAGATGGTTCTCGTGTTGGTGCATTCTTATCTTCTGGCATAGAGGAAAAGCATGGATTTTACGGAACTGGAGAAACCTTCGTTTTCCATTTCGATCCGTATTTTGCTGGATTCCGCTGGTCACAAAACAATGATTTGTTTATTTCAACGACAAGAAAGGATCTAATGATCGGTGGTGGTTCTAGAGATTCAGTGAATAATGGAAGTGCTATTTATATTGATGATAACTTTATGAATTGCTATTCCCAGGACTGTGAAACTTTTAATTCACCAAAACTCGGAAAGAGTGAATCTTTCCCTATTGTTGCTGTTGAATTATGGCATGCTCACCCTTAACTTTTATTATTTATTTTTTTATTATTTTTGTTTTTTTATTATAAATTATATTATGTTATTTGATTATATTTACTATATAACATTATGATTTTTCCTATAAAGAAAGGTAGACGAGAAGCAAATTTACTTGATTTGAATTTAATTTTGATAAGATTCAATATATCAACAATTCAACCTTCAAAATTTAGTATTCAAGAAGTTCAAAAATATTTTAGTTCTAACACAAACTAATCTTATCAAAAAAACAATATTTTTTTTTAAATAGAAATCACAATTAGTTGGATTTTGGTTTGAGGGTAATCAAATCATACAATTCATCATCTACCTCTTCTTCTAAGAATTTTTCTTCCTCTTCTTCTTCAGGAATAGGTTCTGGAGCAGGCTCATCAGCTAAATCTTCCTCTTCAGCAACAATTTCTTGATCTAAGTCTTCTCCTTCATGATCTTCTTCTTCATTTATTGGAATATCTTCTGGACCTGGCTCAACTTTATCTTGTTCATTAATTTTTAGTGAAATATCTTCTTCATTAAATTCTTTTTCTTCCTCTTCATCAATTTTCTCTTCTTCAGCTTCAATATTATCTTCTTCTTCGGCTAGGAATACCTCATCAGCATTAACTTCCTCTGCTGGTTCTTCTTCTTCTGCAATAATTTCTTCTTCATTAAAACCTTCCTCTTCCTCGATATCTTCTTCCTCATCAACATCATCTAAGTCATTAAGTAACTCGATTAACTCATTATCGTTCTTCTCTGGTGTAGTTTTGAGATATTCAATAAGAGTTTTACGCAAATCGACATAAAGATCCTTTGGTTGATCCATTCTTTGATCTACCTGTTGGATCTGTGGCTGTATCGATGTATTATTCCTTTGTTGTGAGATATAAGATTCAGTTAAACCTTTTTCATCGCGTGCGAGTTCTTCTTCGACAATTCTAGCGTTTTCAAAGAGTGGTCCTGCAATTTCGTTAATCATTTCTTCGTACATAACAAAGTTTCTGTTCTGAGATCTGATTGTACATAATTGAGTTGCAAGAAGGTGAATTGTTTCCTTTTGTTTCTCAATTTGACCTTCTAAACTGTTAGGATCTACTTGTGGTTTCTTGACTTTTGGCTGCTTCTTTTGATGAACTACAGGTGAAAAATAATTTTTAAGGAATTGCTTGATTTCATCACGTGGAACACCGATGGATCGTAATATTCTGACTGCTCTGACGGATAATGGGTCATTCTTTTGTGAATCAAGGATGTTTAGCATACGTGTTAATTGATTTCCATCAACTTGCTCTTTTTGCTTCTTGAATGTTTCCTCTTTCTTCATTGTAGCACGAGCAACAAGTGATTTCTTAGTAGTTGGAGTATTTTGTTTAGCTGGAGTCTTTTTCTTTGATTTTCCTGTTTCTTCGCGAATTGAAATAGGTTTCATATCGTTTGTATAGGAAGGACGCTTAGGAAGCCATCCTTGTGTAACAAGGTTTATCGTATATTGTGGGTCTCCGTAAGTATGAGCGTTTGATATGTCTGCTTTTGTTATTTCTGTGCCGTTAAGAATCTTAAGTTGAGGTCCTGCGGCAATGTAAGCTAAAGCGCGAAAATTGGATAGTTTTGCAAGTGGTGTTTCGAATAATGATAAATTTGTGAGTTTTTCCATTTTCGGAAATCCTTTAAAGCTGAGAAGTGGATTTCTATCTAAAATAAGTGTTTCTATGTTAGAATTTTCAGGAAAATCGAGAAAATCAGTCAACTTATTGTCAGATAGATCAAGAGTTACAATTTTTTCATTTAATTCGAGATCGTTTATATCTTTCAATCCAGCCCCTATCAATTTGAAGTAATCAGCCCTGATATTGACCTTCTTTTGATATAACGTCGTTCTCATTTTGCACTTTTTCGTCACTTTTTCTCAAATTTTAAACAGTATTCTTCATATATTGAATTTCTAATTTATATTAATGATGCCAATTTACTGAAATTTAAGAATAATTCATTAAATCTCTTGAATACAAATCACATTAGCATCATTTAAAAGAATCATAGTAATATATCTACTTTTACAGAATTATGTTTATAAATTCCGAATCACATTCTGAATGTTATTCATATCATTAGCAAAGAACATTCAATAAACTAGTATTGGTTCATTTGCAAATTAATGCAAAGCATCCATAGCATTTACATATAACAAAACACTATATTTTACTATGAAAATCACAATAATAAAGAGATTTTCAAAAGATATGCAATTAAATTAACAACATTTCCTCTTTTTCTCAGATTGCAAGGCTTCATTAAAAGTAACGGATTGTTCTTCCATAGCAGTGGCTTCAGGATCTTCTTGATCAACAATTTCAGCTATTTCTCTGAAAAGATTTTCAATATTTTTTCCGGTAATAGCAGAAGTGAAAAATATTGGACATCTAAATTTCTCTTTAAGTTCGTTAATCTGTTCAGCTGTGATAACAGTGTCAAGATCGTTTTTATTAGAAACTAATAAAATATGTGGCACATTGCAATCAAATTTAGCGTATTTAAACCAAAGAGAGATGTTATTATATGAGTCTAGATTAGTTGTATCGAAAACGATAACAGCGACGTATGAACATCTGGCAAACATTGGTACTAAGCATTGATAATTTTCTTGGCCAGCAGTATCCCATATGTTAACTCGAACTCTTTTCTCGTTTAACATGATATTGCATTGAATTGAGTTAGCCCCAACAGTTGGTTGTGGCTCTTCGTTAATTTGATTGTAGTAGTTAATGATACTTGTTTTCCCAACTGACGAATCACCAATAAAAACCACTTTACCTTTGATAGTAATGGAATTACTTTTGGATGACATTCCAAAATTTTATATTCAAAAGTCGGTATTGAAGGAAGTATTAATGTTATATCAAAATGTACTATTTAGCATTAAAAAATTCTTCCTCAATAAAACCCTCATCGGTTTTGACATTTCATCGACTATCATTCTTGAATATTGTATGTCAAGGATTGTAAATAGTATTACTTGACTAAATAGATCCAGAGTAATCTAGTTATTCGTTGTGACTATATAATGATTCTGCGATTGAAATATCTTTGTTAATTTAGGTAAGAATTTTAATGTTTCTTAGAAGCTTTGATATTACATGCAGAACCATATCAATTTATATCATATATGACGATCCAATCTGTATAATTATTAATATTATAAAATAATTAATGTATTGGGTGTCTAATATACAAAATGGAATGTTATTGCCATATGTCCATGCTTAGTGTGTTCTGAAAATAAAGTTATTATGGATATATAAGTTAAAAAGTTTGATTTCATCTGTGATGATTTCGAAAAAAATTTCAGATCTCTCTCTGAGCAGATATTGAAAAAGATAGAGCCCTTGCAACAGATACCAAATTCATTTTAAAAATAAGTCAAAAGATGACACATTTCGTAGTAAAGAATAAAGTAAAATCTGTTGAAAAAAAGTGGCAATTTTACATATCGTATATTTCACAGATGACTGAAAATTTGGAGACAGTTCAGCTCGATTCGACATCACCTATGTCGTCTCCGAACTCTGTTTTCCTTCACATTGAGGATGAGACAGTCGCTGATCATACACTTTATCAAACAATTTCGAATTTATCAGCTGCAACAGAACTCTCCTTCTGCACCGAAGCGAATAATATTTCAAATTTATTCGACATCGTTCTCTCCAAAATATATGGAAGGAGATCTGTTTCAAACATTTTAGAAAAAAGATTAATTCGAAAACCAGAAAACGAAAAGCAAATTTCCGAAAACGTTACTCCCATATTATCAAGCACCTTGGATATTATAGAAAAGTGCTTAGAAATATGCTCTAAACTTCAGACATTTCTTGGCAAATTTTTGAAACAATTAAATGAACCAAATGGCATTTATTCAGATGTCATTCTTACTCAGATCTGCAATATTATCTATAAATCCGTAGCTGCCGATCAGATGCTCATTAAAAAGTCTTCAATTAAAAAAGATATCAACGAGTTACAGAAATTTTTAACCAGAGATGCTATATCTCGCTTAGATATCCGCATTAAATCATGCAGCAACTGGTTATCCCAGAAATTAGCCATTGAAAAGACGCTGGAAACAGAATTTAAGAAATACGCGGATCTTTCGAGAATTATCAACATCATGTGGGCATATTTGAATAAGATCTTACAAGAGCGTAGTCTCTGCCAGCCAAATCTTCATTTTGCTGCCATTACATCGCTCATTTTCTTTGTAAACCTTTCTCCAGATACTTTTACATTAATGAACGTAATTCCTACGATCAGAGATTACATCGAGACAAATCCCTACGTTCCTCTTTACCACGAACTTTCTTTAGGTTCATTTGAACAATTACAGTCACTTCCAGCCTTCCAGAGTGAATCCTTTACCTCCAGATCCCAACAACCACCACAGATCATCACAGATCTTCGCAAAGAATTCGAAGATATCTCTCAAATAATTTCATCTTATTTAACTCGCAAAACAGCAGCACCAAATACCGATTTCCTTAATGCTGTTGTACGCGCCTTCAAACTTCTCAACTACACAAAGGCCGTTCTCCGTCAACAATACGTAGAAAAATTGGCAAAACCTCCAGCTCAGCCAGATTCATTCAAATCATACGAAAGAGCCATCAGATATGGCTATACCGAGCCGGAACTGAGCTCAATGCTCCAACTCCTTTCTCATTGCAGAGATCTCCACGATCTTCTGCGTTCAAACGCTCCATTTATCTACGAATCGGTCAGTCTTTCGATCTCTGTCATCTGGCAGGACTTTATCAAGCATAAACTTGCCAAATGCTACATTCATACGCAGAGAGATAAAGATAAACTATCCGAAATCATCGAAACACTCAGATCCATTGGTACTCATTACGACCAAGGCGAAAAGTGGTCGATGAAAGAGAAAGGAATGAAAGATGAAGCGATGAAAGGCCGAATTTCGGAAGATTTGTATTCTCCGAACCCCCAATTGATCGAATTCGTCAGGATCCAAGTCCAGCACCTCGCAAACCCTTACGGCGAATACATGATCAAGACAGGAAGAGCTTTTGCCCACTCACAAGCAATTAGGGACAAAGAAGTTGGTTATATCAATGAATTTGTCACTTCATCTTTTGATTGGACCGATATTCTCGCTTTTGACCAGCTTCTGGAGCAATCCGTCGTTCAATCTGATTTCTATTTCAAAGAAGTCGAATTAGAAGTGAACGGAGTTGTCAATTTCCCTGTCAAAGCATCTCTTCCTTACATTTTGGCCCAATTCGCACTTCAAAACTACAAATCTCCTGAATTGACAGAATTAATCTTTTATCCATTGTCAATTTACGATGACGCACTAAATACAGCGACGAAGATCCACAAATCAGGACTGATGGTCGAAGAAATCAAGTCAGAAGGCATAGTTTGCGTTGAAACACTAAAAGCGTTAATTTCTGACTTCACTTTTAATGCATTCAGAGCTTTCTCGACACTCAGACAGTTCCCAGATAAACTGAGAACATACGTCGCTGAAAAACTCCCTCAGCAGTACAAAATGCCAATTTCAAAGGCCTATCGTCTTAGAACGATTATTCAACAAAACCGTTTTCACTTTTTGGCGAAAAACATCAACTTGATACAGTTGATTGCCCAGAAAGTCGACGACAACATGAACAACGCTGTCATTCAACTGTTCAAACTTGCAAAGACACATGGTTTGACAGCGTCTTTGGCTATTTCACACGGTTTGGACGCTTTGAAAGATGCACACAGATTGTTGACAGAAAACGGTTTGCCACTTTTGCCATTTACAAGTATTGAAAGGAGTGCAAAGAATGACACTTTTCCACTTGGATTTATTTCGGAGTATTTCAAGAACACAACACAACATTTGTTCAAAGAAATCATTCCGAATTACACACTCGCAATTAATCCTCATAGATTCATTCCAAATAAAAACGTGACATTGAGAAGTGAATCATTGGGATCGAACGAAATTGGAAAGATCATGCAATACGCAACTGAATCTTCCTTGGCTTTCGTAACCGTTTCTCACTTCACTTTCTTTGCCAGACAATGTTCAGAAGGCACATTAGCTTTGATCATGAAATACATCAATTCAAGTGTTGAAAAAACATACACGAATTTCGTCAACGCTTATTTGCCCCTGAAATCAAGAATTTCCAGATGCAAGGATTCCCCATATGGAACAGCCGCAAAAGGTGTTTACGCGAAATACGAATCATCTTACAAATATTTACAAGATGATACAGCGATTGACTCTGTTCTCCACGCATTGCAAGGGTTAGGAAACTTGTTTGTAGCATTGGAAATGCTCGATGAAGCATTTGTAATCAAGAGATTCTCTCTTTCTCACGCGTTGGCAGTCTTGAAATCAAAAGATGACAACAGGAAAGGTTTGGAAAAATTATTTGATGACACTTTTTCAAAAAGTGTCGCAACGATCAGTACAACGAGTCCTGATGTTGCAAAAGAGACAGCGGGAATGTGCCTCAGGTTTGGCATTCACTGCCTCATCAAGGAGATCATGAAGAACCCAGAAGTTTTGGATGAACAATTGATAACTGATAGAGAATCATGTCATAAAATGCCTCCTTTCAACCAAATGAAAGGTTTCGCAAGTATGTGGTCGATCATCGAGTTCGTGTTCTGTCTCATAGAGGCAAACAAGATGCCAGGAAAAGACAAAGGACTCGTAAAGTACGGTGTTGGCGTTACTTGTGGTGCAGCAATTCTCTGTTTGGCTACTGACCAAACCGCTTTGGCAAAAGTTCTTTCTATCGGTGTCAAAATTTCAAGAGCTTCAAATGTCGAAACAGAAGAGACATTCGAGCCTCTCGTCAAGTTTAACAACATTTACTGCGTTGTTAAGGCGGCGTTCGATTGGGCTATAACATTCTTTAAACCAAGTGTTGAGATCATGAAGAAATACATTGAACTCAAAGGTGCCCAAGAATAATTTTTAGTATTTATTTTTATTATTTTGTCTCTTTATCTTTTTTTTTATTGTATATTTTTTTTAATTTTATTTCTTAATATTAAATCAATAAGTTTATTCGTTTTAAAAATTTTATAAAAATATGAAGAATGAAGATAACTTTATAAAACCTCATTAAATTTACAATATACTAATTATTATTCAGATTTGGTTTAATATTTCTAATTCTTATGAAGAATTATAGAGGTACAACCAATTTTACAAGATTTACTTTGATATAAAATCATCATGACGGCTCAATTAGCTAAGGATTCGATTTGGAGTATTGGTTATAAAAAATTTCTCATTATATCTACCAGCCACATTCAATGGATGGTTTATACAGTCTTAGTTGAGATTATTTATCATAGTTGTATTGATCTTTTAATAAATTTTAATGCTTCAATAGAAAAAGCTATTGAAAAGAGGAGCTCTTTGTAGCAAAATAAGGGTATATATGATATATTATGATTAATCCTCAATACCAAGTAACCTTTTATAACAATAACATTAAATTTTTACTGTCACTTTTTTACACTCGATGAGTCATCCATTGGAGAGTCCTTGGACATTTTACATCTACTCATCAAATAAGGGTCAGAGAGCCGAGCAAGACTATCTAAAGTGCATTACGAAAATTGCAAAAGTAAATACAGTTGAAGAGTTTTGGGCTGTTTATTCTCATACAATTCCACCATCAAAACTCAAACAAAATTTTGCTCTTCACTTCTTCAGAGGAGATTCAAGAGCCGTTAGAGAAGATGAAGAAAATCAAAATGGCGGAACATTCTTTGTCAAATTACTCAAAAACCATGCCTCGCAGGAATGGGAGAAGCTTCTTCTTGATTTTATTAGCGAAAATATCCATAAGGACGTAATAGGAGCTGTTGTTTCTGTCCGTATTGATAGTGAAAGACTCCTTATCTGGAATAAGACATCATCAGACCCATCCCTTCGCTTAGAAATTGCTAACCAGCTCGCAAAATGCTTAAATCTCCCATTCAAGAGCAAAATTGAGTACTTGGCACACCAACGTATTGGAAACTCAAAGCCAATCATATACACAATCGAAGCTGAAGGCGCTGTAGAGCAACACAGCAACAACAATAAATAAAAGCTTTGTTATTTATAAACTTATACAATTTTTAAAATATGTTAAAAAATATCTACGGAAAAACTCTGAAATTCTACCAGAATCAAATAACAAACAACTAATAAGATCTTCCTTTATAATCGCAGCCTTGAAAGGGCTTATTTATAATTTTTCCACAAAATTTAATAGTGTAATCAAAAATCTAATAAGTCATCTGTATTTAAAACAAAGAATTTAATGATTTTATAAGATTCAGAGTGAACATGGCGATATTTTGAGAAAGATTTTTGGAATTGCGTTTATTCATGGATATATTCATGCATTACTCCTCTAGCATTTTATATTTCTTTATATAATTCTGAAAATTGAAGATTTTATGCTTTTCGAAATTCACTTTTGAGTTTGAATGAACTTATAATTTCAATTCTTAACGCAAATTTTTGTTGAAATTTTCCATTTTTTCTTTATTATTTCTATTTACTAGACTATATCCTACATTTTCGTGTAAGTTGTGCTCAATTGATTGATAACCCAAAACCGAAATTTGACAATCTGGTTTTGTTAATTTCTACCAAATTCTACTTACCATGTATAGTTTTGAAAAAAAGATTCAACAAAAAATAATTTTTTTGAATGAACAAAAATGACGACGATTGAAGAGCTACTTAAGGGTGCCCCGTATGTACGTTTATTTGAGAGGAGGAGGATTACCCTCTCAATTTTGAGGGATTCGTTAGTTTATTTTCTCGATGAATATGCAATAAAATTTGATTTTTACCTTATCAATATACTTCATATAATATACACATGTTCATGTAAAAACTTTTTTCCAAAATCCTCAGGAATTAAGGGATTTTTGAATTTTAAGAATTTTTTTCGAATTTTTTCGAAAAAAAAATATTTTCAGAACAGCCTTAACGGCTAAGATTTAGGAACAATGTTAAGTATCAAAAAGAAAGGAGGTCTGATATAGACAACATATATCGTTGAAGGTTGAAAAAATCTCTAATATTTGAGCCCAAAATTTCAAATTTTAATTTTTTTAAAAAAGAGGCCACCCGTATGTACGTTTATTTGAGAGGAGGAGGATTATATTTTTGAAAGGGTGAAACATTATGAATATGTTAATTATATAATAATATGTATTATTATAAAAAAGAAAAAATAAAGCACGTTAAAATTTTCTTGATTTTTTACAAAATCGACTTAGAATTATGCAAAATATGACTAAATAATTATAAATTTCAAGTTAAATTTTAATTTTGATAAATAATTTAAATTTCAAAATGTCAAGTTCAGTTCGACTATGTATGTAGTAATTCCTCAATAAAGTGCCAAAACCCTATTAAAATATATGAACATTTTCAACATTTTAATGTTTTTATTTAAAAATTTGATGGATTATGAGCTTCAAACAATTATTATGTAAATAAAAATAATTAGATATATGTATTTATTCGTATTACAACCGTAGTAAGTCGATTCTTCCTTTCTTCTACTGAGTTTTGAATTTGATTTCGAATTGTAAAGAGATTCAAAGGGAAAATACTAGCGGATAAAAACTACCTCCATGAAAGGGTCATAATGGAGTCAAGTTGTATTTTTTGATATTTTTTGCTTTTCGAGCCTAAATAGGTAGCCAAGATAATGCCTAAAAATAAGGTTCTAAATTCTGAAGTTTACATGATCCTCTCGTGTGCACCCTTAACAGAAAAGTTCCCTTTCCTTCCTATTCAAAGGAAGAGGTAAGCGAACCACCACAGGCCCCTCCGCCGTCAAAACCCGAGCCTTCTGTAACTTTTGAAGACCCAACAAGCGTATATGCGAAATCAGCCCCATATACGTTACTTGATGATCTATCTATTTTCAACGTCATTGTTAAATACTACGGAGATGGCTTCCATGGCAAAATTCCTTGGTCATTTTGGCAAACATATAAACGGGTTTCTGGCTCTACACGTAGTAATTCTAGCCTCTACCATCACTGGAATGGATCAATGAAGAAGAAATACGAATCATTTATTACAACAGGAAGACTCTCAGATTGTATTGCATGGCTAGAGACCGCAATTCAAGCCGAAAGAGCTCCAATGCCGCCTATTCAAGATATGATGCCTCATGCGGGCATGCCTCTTATGCATATGAAATCACAACCTTCTGTTCCGCTTGCACCGAGAATTATTCAACTGGAACAACCATCTCCTCTTATTAGAAATGCTTCTTTCGTTACTCCTTTCCAATATTTCCCAATGTAATTTAATACAAATATACTATTTCTGTAAAATTATTCTTTTTCTCTATTTCGATATGCCAAATTGCTTTATCAATTTGTATTACAATAGCTTTTGTAAGATTGCTTTCTTTGAGGTTTATTCTCATTCAACGTCAAAATATTGGAGACTCGAATATGAGGAGTTCAGACAAAACATTAGTGGCAATAGATTCCATTACAATATCTCATACAGGATCAACAATTATAAAATATAGAAAACAATAGAAAAGTCAATTGCTAATTTGTCCTCTAAAATAATGACTCTGCATATTCACACTATATACAGAACAATTCTATCGCACAAATGCTTCATCTAGAGGATTCGAGACCATTTGAGACCACATCAATGTGTTCAATATCGCTTTGATTGGATTTTTAAAATCAAAGAAAATCCTTAATTCATGAGAGAACCTATTTGCCAATGAAAGATTATCATTTTGAAATTTTGGTTTATTAACGATGTTAATGGGGATGATGTGGTTTAACGCCGCAAGTATCTATTTATTCTACATCTTCCCAAAACTATCATCCCACATCATGGACTCGTTAATTATCTTTTTTCCAGCTTTTGGATATCTCGACCAAATCAGAATCATAATTTCAACAAAATCTGTAGCAAATTTTAAAATAGGTACTTCATTAGTAACCATTGCAGCTAATTTACTTCGCGTTGTTTATTGGCTTGGCGCAAAATTTCATGTAAGTTTGCTATATCAATCAGTATTTATGGCTTTAACACATATAATTTTGATGTTTCTATACTTTAAATACTCTATAACTGTTGCAAATGAAAAAACATCCCCTAGTTTTAATAGAAATTATAAATTTTCATGTAAAATTAATATTATGCATGCAGATTCTTTCGAGCAGTTCATTTACTCCTTAGCAGTTATAATGATTTTGATTACTGGCTTATGTTATTTACTATCTATATTTTTAAGCCAGAAACTTGTTTTTGATGCTGTTGGCGTTGTATCCAACGTGTTTGAAAGTTTTATTACATTTCCACAATTCATATTAATTGTTATCAAACGTGAAATTCAATATGTAACTGATGTTTTAATAATTCAATTCCTTGCAGCAGCATTATGCAAAGCAGTTATCTATCTTGCGCGTTCTGTCCCATGGATATTTATGCTTGGATTACTTCTTCAATGAGTTTTCACTTTTATTATAGTAATCACGTACATTCATCTGAAATTCTTCCACAAAGATCATTTACACGAGATAGAAATCGAAAAATCTAAAAGTCAAGATGATTTTTCAGATTCAAATGATGATTAACTCAAATATGCTTTTTTCATTCCTCGGATGTTAGAATTATTTAATGACACAATAAAATCATAAGATCTGGAATTTCTTTCCATTTAAAATTGATTGAGTTCCACGAACTTGCAAATTAATTTTAAAAATGCATGATTGACACTTACAATTGAAGTTACTTCATATCCATGTTATGTAATATATCATCTATCGAATAAATTTTTAAATTAAAAGTTCAATATTTCAATTTTTCATTTTCGTAATCTACATTTCATTAAAATATCAAATCCTTCAATCAATGTTGCTACACAATGCAATTAAACAATTTACTTCTATTATGCGTATCATCTTTATCATTCAGCTTATAATCTTTGCAAAAATAAACAGTTTTATGCTTTTTTCCATTGCCATTAGGCAAGCTTTATTAGAAATTCCTTATGATAAAGTGTACATATACTGCTTCATACATATAATGAGCGTAGTTAGAAGGAATTAATATTTTTTTTTCAGCCAGAATAAAGGAGTATAAAATATCTCTCAATTTGTGCTCATAATAGGTCTTAATTTTTTTGATATTTTGTTCATACATTAATAAAATATGATACATCTTTTCGATCAATTGGAATTGTTTATTTCAATTTTTTAATTGAAATCATGTCAAATCACACTTTATAAGCATTTTTATTACAAATCTGTTTGGTATAAAATGAAGAATCATAATAAACTGATATTTAACATTTGTGCAATTTTTCTTAATATCGAAGAATCTTGTATTGTTATATTGAAACATCAAATTATTCTTTTCGAAATTTGTGCAATCAATAATTCAGAGTGCAATCTTAATTTTTCAATGTAATTCAATTCCTTTTTCGAATTTGAAAAAAGGGGGAATGGATCAACCCTATCAACTTATATCGCCAAAAGAAGGCACAAATACCTTCCATTTAACCATATATCGCGATCCATTAAATAAATCTCATTTTAAAACTAATATTAAACGAAATTCTCAGTTAAATTTAAAGAAAATTAAAGATGTTGCTTGCAATTCAGAGTACACATATGCTTTATCGACAAATGGCGAACTAATAATGATCAATGGAAATAATATTGATTCCAATGTTATTCAAAATGTACCTAAAAATGTTCTCGTATACGCCGTGGGATCAAGTACAGAGCATACCATGTTACATGCAATTGATTGCAATACCAAAAAGTTTAGGCTTTTTGGAATAGGATTAAATGATCGAATCCAGATAATAAATTTGCCTATAAAGCATTATACTAAATGGGTTGAAATATCCAAAGATGATTTAACAATGCAACTAGTTTCCCTTTCATGTGGAAAAAAATTTACTGTACATCTTAATCTTGATGGAAAGGTTTTTGTTTTCGGATTAAGCAATTTTGGCCGAATTGGAACCAATCACAACAAAATTCTAAATATTGATTCATTTTACGCCCAAGATCTTTATGGCTATCCAATTATTTCATTAGCAGCAAGTCAGAATCATTGTATCGCTCTTACAGCTACTGGAGTCATCTTTGTATGTGCTCCTCAAGCTCATTTTGAGAAAAATACAAATCAGAAATTTGATTTAGGAACTGACGGAAATTCACAACAAAAATCACAGATTTCAGACAATAAAAATCCAAAAGAAACTCCGTTTGTAAAATTTGACCAACTTTATGGAAAATTTATTGTCAAAATTTCATCATTAGGTCATAGATGTGCTGCTCTTGACAATGAGGGTAAAGCTTATGTATGGAATTGCAATAACAAGTGCAATATCCATGAAATTAATGTCGATCAAATTACAATTGAAAACAAAGAAATCATTGACATTGCATTCTACAATGAGAGTTATTTTGCATGCCTTACATCAACACATTCTCTCTATGTTTTCGATTTGGATAATAATTTAAGAAATATTTTACAAATTCCTGTTGTTCCAACTATTTCTAGGATATTCCATTGTTGCAAAGGAATGATGATGACTCAGTCAAACAAAACTCAGTCACAAACTGAAATAATTCAAGATTTTATATTATCAAAAGAACAAAACAATGATAGAATTCCAAAGTTATTGTATATCAACAGAAATAACATTGATCTATTTCTTGCAGATAAAAACAATTACAATCTGTTGAAAGCAACATTTTCATCATTATCAGCAATCAATGGATCATTTATAATAAGAAATCAACCAGAGACAACAGAAGATTGTTTAATTGATTTCGATCTTGTCATTGAATTCTATGATAAATTAAAAGAAACAAATAGAATGGATGAGTTTAATAGAACATTTATGAACACAGTTAATGATATGCTTATTGATCAAATGACTAATTTAGAAAGTTCTAAACTTAGATTTCTTGTTGTTGCATTACTTCATCCATTAGAAACAGAGAGTGACATTGATTTTTGGAAGACAATAATTAAATACATCACTCGTTCGAATGCAAATGAAACACTCAAACAATGGTTCAAGAATTTTGATCAAGATATTTTTCAAAGAATTGTTAATAGTTTGCTCAAGTTTTTTGATGAACCAAAAGCAAATAAACTCTATACATTCAATCAAGATGTTGCAAGAGTTTTATCAATTATATATTCTATAAATGAAGAAAGTTAAGTCCTCCAATTAACAGCTTTCATCCATGAAAAATTTAGCAAGAGTTTAGATCCTGAACAAGATTACAATGCTTTTTCAAAATATATGACTGATTATCCATGGATGTTCACCGAAGAAGCAAAGATGAGATACATCAATGAAGCAATTAGAAAGGAACAATTTAATAAAGAACAACAGACATTCGAAATTGAAGTTGATTTAAGAAATGAGAATATTATGAAAACAGTTCAAACTATTTTTGATCCAGACAATTTTAATTGGAAACTCAAACTCCCATTAGTTGTAAGAGATTGTTCAGGAGAGATTGATGCAGGAGGATTACAAAGAGAATTCTTTAGAAATGTTGAGATTGATTCAATATCAAAAGAAACACCAATCTTCAAAGAATGTTTAAACAAATATTACTGGTTCAATGAAGATTTCAATGATTACAAAATGATTGAAGTCATTGGAACAATATTTGGATGCATGATTATCAATCATTGGCCCCTGAGTTTTTCATTTCCTCCACCATTTTATAAGAAACTTCTGAATCCTGAATATGAATTCACATATGAAGACTTATCATCTTTTATTAATCTTCCTTCTCACAAAGCTAATCAAATTTGTCACGAAGACTTTGAAGAAAACAGCACATCATCAGAGTATGAAGACTCTGATCAAATTCCTCAAGAATTCATAAATGAACCAGAACGAAATAATATATCATCAATAGAATATAGCTCAGATAATGAAGATAAAACAGAAGAATTTTCAGGAGATATTGAAAATTATTCTATAAATAATGAATATAATTCATATAAAGAAGAAGAATTGATCAAAAAATTCAACACCCATTTCGAAAGTTTTCTTAAAGGATTCAAAACTATGACCAATAATTTCAAATTAGAATGTTTGTATCCAGAAGAGTTACAGCGATTGATAGAAGGCGATTTTATAGATTTCGATGAACTTGAAAATTTGACTGAATATGATCAAATTAATCGAGAAAGTCATTGTGTTAAATGTTTCTGGAATGTTGTTCACAATCGTCTTAGTTCATCCGATAAACGAGATCTTCTTATCTTCATCACCGGATCATTTAAAGTTCCAATTGGAGGTATGATTAACATCAAGATTTGTAAATCAGAAGCAAGTCATTGTTATCCATATTCAAGAACATGTTTTCGAGAATTATTCATTCCAGACATTTCAAACGAAGATCTTATGCATGATCACATCCTATATTCTATCAAACAGAAATAACAACTTATATTATTTTTTATTATTATTGTTTATATAATATTATTGTTTTTATAAACTTTATAATACTATCTATTTTTATATTTAATTTTTTTAATAGGTGAATGATATCAAACGATAATTATCATTTTCATTTTAATATCCTCTCAATTGGATCATCTAACAATTCCTTTTAACAACTACTTCGTTTTTAATTGTTTTTGTAAACTATGTAGAGTAATATCATTTGGAAATGCTCGACAATGTCAATAACAGCATGAAGAGTTTCTCTTCCTTTTTTGTAATTTCTTCAGCCAATTTTATAGCAGGGAATCGAGATCCTTTGTAACCTAATAACCGTACATTGAGTTTGCCAAAATCTTGACAGCCAACTGCTTGATGTTCAATGATCTTAATTCTGTTTCTAAATTGTCCAATTTCTTCTTGAGAGCTTCAAGCTGATTCTTGTTTCCAACCGAATCTTTTCCAGCCTTGATTTTGTTCTCAAGTTCTTCAATCTGTTGAGTAACTTTGAACTGTGCATCTCCTTTTTCTTTTATGCCTTTCTTGACTTCACTTGTTCAATAATTCAGCCATGATCTTTGGAAGGACAGCACTGTTTTGGTTGTAAAACAAATATTGTACTGTCTGATGATTGATGGATAAAGAGAGTTGTAATCGAGAAAGGAATAAGATTGAATCGCTTGCAAGAGTTATTTTGATATTCGTAAAAACTAATCCGGAATTAGTTAAATTGACAATTGACAGTATTTTTGGCCAAATTCCTCCTGAACTGCAAAATGAATCAATTTTCCCTTTCAAACATTTAAGATCTAATTTAAATCCATCAATAGATAGTTCTAGGATTTCTCAGTCAAAACATGTTCTGACTGCTTGTTTATATATTGGAGAATTCTTTGAAAAACATAATATTAATATAAAGTCATTTCAAGAGCCTTGTACCGATAAACTAGCCTTGTACTGCCATTTTATGGTGATGTAAAGTATTCAAAAAATTTGCAATGTAAACCATTACATGGCAGAAACTTTAAAATAAACAAAAACATGACACTTAGTACAGGGGCTTTTTGGCTGGTGAAGTCAGATAAAACGTGGCTCAAGTGCTCGTTTAAAATTAAAAATGGAATTTCTCACAGTCGAATTTCTTGGTAGACAACAAAAGTTTATCATCAATTGTCGCGCCGAAGGTATGACATATAGTCAAACTAAGCTTGCATGGGAGGAAGAATACCCAGATCTCGGAACTTTAACATCCAATCTCATTGCTACTGCACTTAAAAGAGCTGCATTAGGTCTATACTGGGAAAAAGGGAATCATGGCGGTGCAGATCCATACCTATGCGAGCGTGATCAGCTCACTTTAAAAGAAATTATCGAAGATTCTGCTTACAAAGGTGAAGCTCTAGAAGCAACTGACATTATTGACGAGGCGTTCAAGTTGAAAGAGCTCAGAATAGATTATGGTTACAGATTCCTTCTTGAGATTAATTGTCCTACTCTTGCAGAAGAAGTTATCAATACTCTTGGTGGTGATGATGTATCGAGACCTTATGTTAACCATATTTTACAGCAATTGCATTGCAAGCTTAAGGCATGCCAAGAGATTGAAGAATCAAGATACATGGCGTGTGAACCAAGAATTATCGAAGAATTCTACGATAAACATCGTGAAACAATCGAAAGTACTCCAGAGGAGTTGATTTTTAGTATCGATGAAACATTCATAAACAAATTTAAGAAGAAGAAAGTTGCATTACCTGAGGAGATAGAGCATATGATCGCCAAAGGAATTCCAAACTTTCCGCACATTACAGCTTTATGCGGATGCTCAATGACAGGCAAATCTGTCCCACCTCTCTTTGTTCTCCCATGTATTGCAGAACTACCTAGAGAACTGAAAGTATTCCAGCGCGAAAGACATTGTTGGTTTACTTCTACGCCAAAAGGCTGGGTGAACAGAAGTGTATTCTTATTGTATTGCATTTTCTTCATCGAGTGGCTTAACTTTGAACGCCAGAGAATGCCAGAAGATATACGTGACAAGCCTGCTCTCATTGTGTGTGATGTTAAGAATTACAGCAACAGTAAGAGGATTTCCAATATTTTTATCTGGTTTCTCAATATCAATTCCGAATGAAATTAAATCTTTAACAATATCTGTTTGATTTTCATAAACTGCAACACTAAGAGCTGTTAATCCAAGTGGACCTTGATAATTGATATTTCCACCATTCTCATACAAATATTTGCAAAGATTTCGAATATGAAAACATGGAGACATTACTAAACCCAAGTCAAAATAAATAATTGAAGATTTAGATGTTTGCAACAGAATTCTATTGATGCTGGGTTGAGATTGAAATATTCCGCCAAGTTATTAGATAACAAATCATAGTAATTTTCCATGTCATGAGATCTGATACCAGCTTCAAATGTAGATACGTCAGGTTTTTGTACCTTCAAACATTCTTGTATAATATATTTATTGTTCCAAATAAATGAATCTTTAAGACATTTTTTGGTGATTTTCACTTTAAAATTTTTTCTTAATAATTTGAAACAATTTTCTGCTCCATTTAAACAACAATTTTCAAGTAATTCAATAAGATTAAGTTTTTCACTTTTCAAAAATTGTGATAATGCATTATCGTCATCATTTAATATTGCCTCTTTATAGGTATTTTTAATGATGTTGTCGTATTTTGAAAGGAATGAGATATTCAAACAGTTTTCGCAATGATATTCTGCAGCCAATTTCTCCATAATCGCTATATACGCATGACGATAACGTAAACGTGTTTCACTAACCTCTTTTATCTTTTTAATTAACTGTTGTGCTGTAAAATATCCAGTATTAATCAAGTTATCCTCGATTTCTGAGAATAATATATTTATTGAGCTTTCTTCCTCTGAATCAATAGTGTATATTTCATCCCATGTTTTAATATATTCCATATTAGTGTGTCAGCATGACGTTTTTGTTCGGAAGTCATCTTTTGAATAGTTAAGATGAAAAGCATGAATATGTACATTGAACACGAAATGTCAAAAATTTTAAAAATCCAAATTTATCGTCATATAAATATTGAAAACTTTAGAAAATACGATAATGCCCATTTATTCAATGAAACATATCAAATCCGAGAATTCATTTCACCACCTTGTTAGCAAAGTTTTCTTCAATTCTGTATAATCAAAATATCTAAATTCACTTAAAGGACTCAAAATGTAACGATTTAAGTTCTTATTTTTCTCGTTTCAATCCGTTTTATCTTTTAAGTTCAATTTTACAGACCTTCCAAGGGAATAAACAGAATACAATATATCGTAATGAGTGGCCCAGTCACAGACAATTTAATTTTCATAGATCTTAGATGTTGTTGTAGATGATGTGTGAGTTAGTACACCAGTCTTGGGTATGGTGGCACTGCGTTCCACCTTACCCAATACTTGTGAATTTGACACTTTACAAAACCGTTAACGTACATTTTACAACATGAACGCAAAAACTAACTTAACCTTAAATATTTACAAAGCCGCCAACCATTTCACCTCACTAACGAACTCACTAATGAAAAAATAAACGTTCTCATAAATTTTCTTCTATATCTTCATCGTCAATGTTAACTCTATTGTAGTCATACTTGAAGTCATAAAGTTTCTCAAGTTTTGAAATGCATAGTCTTGTTAACTTACCTTCATCATCATAAGTTTTTATAAAACTACCATGACAATCTTTATACACAGTCAATGAAAAGTCAACTGGTCTAGGATGAAGTGTAAAGAACATGTTATGCTCAGGAAGGAAGAATAAATGTTTAAATGTATGTTTGTTATATTTTTCGATTTGTATGAGTTGCTTTTGTTCTGTCATTTACATCCAAAATAAAAATTTTCAGTAAAATAAAAAATAAACTTAAAAATTAATGATATCACCACCCTCACACGTATGAAAACATAGCACAAAAATAAATTTAGGTGAAGTGGTGAGATGTCACCTGTTTTTTTCATCTCTTTTTTCACCCGTTGAATTCATTGCTTTATAACTCACTGTCGTCTGCTTTCTCCAACTCTTCTAACTTCTTCCTAAGTTCAGCAATGTTGTCCTCATGAAGTTTAATCTTCCTTAATATACCTTCTTTATCTAATGGTTGCTTTATCTTTCTAAACTGAACTCTACCATCCTTCATAGTATGAACGTAAAAAACCTTCTGGAACCGCCTGATTTAATGTATTCTACCAAAAATTTTTGTTTCATTGCTTCAGTGACTTTAGTCGTCATTTCAATCAAATAAAAATTTTAATATTAAATAAAAATAACGTTATTTTTTCAGTAAGGAAACGCAGGAGTTTTACGATTTATTTGAGGATAAATTCTGGTTTAAAATGTTGGAGTCGGTTTAGGAGTTGACTTTTGAAACAGGAGTTTGTACTTTCATAGGTTCAGGAGTCATTGAAGGTTGTTTGTGATGGTGTCGGAGTTTGTTTAACTTCAGCTACTTCAGTATTATTTACAACATTTGCTTTATTTCTTTTTCAACATCATAACTGCTCCTGCTGTAGCTAGCAAACCTAGTGGGAGACCATATCTTATATAAGGACTTGACCAAATGCTATTTTTGACAGGAGCTGGTGGAACACCTAACCTTGGTGAGACTGCTCTTTGCCATTGTGCAGCTCGTAAGAAATATTCAATAGGTGCTCCTCCATAATCGTTTGGTAAAGTTTGTTTCACAGATGGTGAAGGTTCACGAGAGCTTGATGAAGAACTCATTTATAAGCTTTAAAAATAAACGTTCATCCTTTATTCCTCACTGTCGTCCGCTGCTAAGTTATAGTCGTCAAGTCTTATTATTGGTATGCCTGACTGTCTTACTTGTATTGCAAAGCAACAATCCCTCATAAATCCAATAAGTGGCTTTGGTACATTTTCAGTTGCTAGTTCAATAGGTCCTTTAACAGACAATTTGTATGTTATTGGAGCAGTAGATGTTTGACCTTGCTGGAAGCAAAAGTCCACTTCTGTTGGAAAACCACATAAGAAATGTGTGTTGTCATAACTATCCCATTTATGTTCCACACTACCATCATCCACCAATGACCTCATAACATCTTCATTAAATCCTATCATATCATTGTTTGTATTGCAGGCGTTCGCAACCATTTCATAAAATACAGGTCCATATGATTTTTCAGGTTCTGCAGGCATATTTCCATAAGCTCCCATGGAAAGCTGAAGATATTTAAACTTAGGGTTCTCAAAATTAACATAATAGTTGTCTTTCTTTCTAAATAGTGCCCAAATACTTTTAACATTAATAGGCGTATAAGCTGCTGTAAATGTTGCACTTGAACTATCTGTATTCTTTGAGAATGAACCGTCCATAGGAATCCAATCCATAACTTTAACAGGAAAACATAAAGCCTCGTTTGTATAATGTTCTACAAGTTCTGTATAAATGTTAGGGTCTAAAGAGAATGACTTTGGATGAATGAAACATTCATTAAAATCCATCTTTGTTCGAAATAGTTGCTGGGTTACAGTTGTAATAGTAACTGTTCCACTAGCTTCTACTGCCTTCGTTATCATAGTGAATGGTTCATTCCATGGAACAAATTTATTTGTCGGTGGATTTGAATCTGAAGCAAATGCAACTTTAAGAGTTGGATTGAAAGCAATGATATCATTTACAGATATAGATGTGCATTGTAAGGCGTCGCTACTGAACTTTACTTTAAGCTGAATGTTTCCTGCAAAAGCTGGAATAAATCGAATAGCTTCTAATGGAAGGAATCTTCTAACAGGAATTCTTAAACGAAGCTTAAAATCAAATGATTTTCCTGCTGTAATTGGACCACTAACAATTTGTCCTGTTCTGCATGTTCCCGAATGACTCCATACATCTTCATGTCGAGTCTTTGAGAAAACATCTACTTTCTTTATTTGTTCGGTAGTTTGTGAGTTTGAAGTTATATATGCTTCTTCTCTTGCGTTGTCTTGAGAATATACGATACGACCATTTGCAAGGATTTGATATCCAGCAACTGCATAGAAAGCGTCATCGAAACCAATCCAAAATCCTGGTGGGTTTGTTTTATTGGAACCTGAACCAATTTCTTTATCTACAATAAATCGACCTTCCATTTTATACGTAATGAATGTATTGTAAAGGTCCAACATATTTTCACCAGGAGGTGAGAGATTGAATGTTACCCATGTGTTATCTTTAGCAGTTCCAGGTTGTGATGGAATCTTTGCGTCAGAATATTTTCTATTAGTGTCACCAATTTGAACTGCATTGTCTATGATATCGAAATATGAGCGAATCTGATGAATATGCTCTGCTGGAGTAAATTCGTTTAACTGTTCGTTCTGCATGTATTTACTTCAGATAAAAATATCTATTTACTTCATTATTCTCACTCTTCTTCTTGGTATTCGTGGTGGAAGTTGTTTCTTGACATTTTCAATGAACTGTACATTCTCTTTTGTCTCGACTTCTTTCACTGGTGGGTCAGGGTTCTTTGACTCGGTTTGCTTTTCAATGAAATTCACGAACTTTGCAATAAGCTCTTGGTTCGTTATTGAAAGTACATCTGGCTTCTTTTCTTCTTGTTCTTTTGGTGGCTCAGTTTGTACAGAAGGTTTTATATGGGCTTCGTGGGCTTCACCCTTGCCATACACCTTAATGTTGTCGCTCTCTGTATTCGCTAATGGAACCTTTCTTTTTCTTACATATATTTTACCATCTTTACTCTGACTTACATAATAGAAAGGATGTTGTATTCCTCTGGCGTCATTTAATATAATAGACTCTCGTTCTGATTTTGACAAGCTCATTTTACATCGGTTAAAGTTTTAATTTTGTTTTTTATCTGCAATCAAATGACTCAGACAAGCCCTACGGACAAGACCCAAGGGGTCATAGATGTTGAAGCATTGAAGAAAGAAATTCGTGAGCAAATTTTATCCGAACTGAAGGAACAAAAACAAGAACAAAAGCCAGAGAGACCAAAGAGAAAACTTAGTGAAAAACAACTAGCTGCATTAGCTGCTGGAAGACAAAAGAACCCACGTTTGCTGGCGAAAAAAGCTAGAGAAGAAGCAAAAGCAAAGGAAGAACAAAAAGCAAAGGAAGCTGAAGCAAAGAAAGAGTAAATGGTTTATTTTTATCCGAACTAAATGTATAGACAAATACCTTTATCTGTTGCGTTCAGTAGTGAAAACCCTGACGTCAAAATAAAGGGGAACAGAGTAACGTTTAAGTTTCCAACAGACTGGATTGTGAACATAAATGAAGAGAAGTACATTGGCATAACATCTATGTATATAACACGTGCTTTCAGAAAGGTTGACTTTATACTTCAAGTCGAGATAGAAAATGACGAACAGTCTTTAAGCACCCAAAACATTCACATATACAAATACTTTAAAGACGATACAACATTGTTGCAATGTATGATTTCATTTAATGAGATGTTCGAGAAAAAGTTCAATATTGAAGTACAAACTTTACAGCCTTTACGTGAGTTTCTTGCACAACTGAAAGAAGAAGGTAGTCAGCCACAACTTATAGACTTTCATTATGAATTTAATGAAAATGAAGATGGAACTCATGACTGTCAGTTTGTTATATATTCACCATTCAATGAAGTCGCTAAAAAGAAAGAAAATCCATTACGTATAAGGTTTCAAATCTCTGAACCCAATGAAGACTTCAAGAATGTTTTCAATTATGATGCAATGCTTCCGAGGAAAAATGAATTTTCAAAGATTGTAACACCAGGCATTTGGGATAGAAAGCAAGCTATATTATATTCAAACTTAAGTAAGGGAGTTGAAAATGAGTTCATTGGTCATACAAGAACTTCACCACTTCTTAACCCTAAATACTATAAATTAACTGGCTTCAATCGTGAGTTTTGGATAGACATGTTCTCCACTCATGACCATA